AATAATTAGAATGAATTCACACATGGAAAAGGTAGTCACGTTAAGTATGAGACAATTACTCACTAATTATATTCAATTACAATAATGTTACAGTCCAATGTGAGTGAAGTTTGAAATAATTAGTAGTTTTAGAAGTATTTTATTTAATATCATGCACAAAAACATGATGTACTCATATCTTGTATGTTGTGGTAGATGCTTAATGTTGTATAATTTTAAGTTGGAGTGAAATAACTACTATCCAGTACTTTCTGGCTCCCATTGATTTATTGATTATCAATGACAAAAATTCACTTCAGACTATGGTATGATAATGTCTGGTAAGATCTAGCTAGACAAATAAATTATGACTGCAAATATAAAATGAGTCTTTATGATGAAGTATATTGAACCGATGAAATTATTTGTTAGTGTTGTGTTCTATGAACTGGACGGTGTATATATGAAGCTTTCGTCGTCCTTCATTACTTACTTTAAAAAGAAGTGATCTGTCACAACCACTAGATAATTAACAAACAACTTCTGTCAACCTGGAATTTGATTGGTTGTTATCCACAACTGTATGGTAGTCATTTTCATGTTTATTTTCTTTCTTGATTTGAAATCTGATCTAACAGTTGTGAATGCTTTCTCTTATTAGCGAATAGATTTAGTCGATTTCGATCAGTCTATCTGTTGACTAGAATGCTAGATTATTAAAAATTTTCTGGCTTTGTGTTCTCGCTGTTTCAACATTTTTACATTTTCGTAGTCGGACTCATGTTCATAGCTGTTCACATGTACTGACATGAGTGAAGTCATGTTATCTCGTTTAATAGCTTACTAGTATTTATGTGAACGTAGACCGAGAGGTCAGCTACTTTGTCGTATATGGTAGTTTTTACAGCTACTGAAATCTATCTTACAGATGATTTATATCTTAGTTTATGTTGGTGATCTTTAGCCCTCATAATATTGATTTCAAGGATTTTGTCGGATTGTACGCTAAACCTAATATGTGTAGCTACAAATATTCTCTGTTATCCCAAAATATAATTATTCTGTCGTTATTAAACCATTATTTCTTGTTGAAAGTAATCTTTTTATCTTTCAGAGATTAATATATTTTGCCCGTCTAGAATTTGAAAATATTTCATTTCAATCAACTATTGGAATAAATACTGAATACATATTAATTAAGAGGTAAACTGAACAGTCTATTCAAGGATTAAATTTATTCACATTAATAAGGTCCGAAATGAAAATTCATTTAATAAATCTTTTGATTTTGAAAGTAGTGTATACAATAATTTTGAATAATGAATGATAAGGATTATTTTATTAAGGATGAATTTAATGGGAGTTCGATAGACCAAATAACTGACATAACTGACACTCCAACAACAATCCATAATACAATGAAATGCAGAAAGTCATAAAAGGCTTAATATTTAAGAAAATATTGTAAAGGCAGAATAGCATTGTATTCACGTTAACAAATCTTAAACTTGAGATAGCAAAATTAAATAATTAAAAATGATAGCAATCGATCAAATAACAGCAAAGGTCACTGCGAAAATGTGTATCGGAAAAAGTTTAAACTAACATTTACTAACAAAAAACCAGATAAGCTGACATCATATTCGTACAAATACAGTTGTAGATCTAACTTATATAAATTAGATGAACATTAGGAAATCAGACGTGTTGAATAAGTCACATTTAGTTCGCAATTCCATAGACAGGGTGAATTTAATACAACCGTTTATCTCTAAATGTGATGCTGATCGATATGATCGATCCAATGATATCAATTGACCCTTGATACTGAATATAATAATACAATATGTTTTTTTCTAGCGTTCATAACATCATGTAACATAATAAGAATGATTGAATTAATGGATGACAAATCTGTACAGTGATATAACCCAGCGAATATATTTTTGACGAAATAAAACAGAAATGTTTCGATGTGTTGAGACGGAATTATAAAAATATCAAACAAATAGGTTTGTTAGTTCGGTATTTGTAAACTAACTCCCATACTCGAATATGATCCCGCTGCGTATTTTGTGTAGAAATGTATACTTGTACTGAGAAATTTTTTTATTTTTGCCTCAGTTGATGATTTAATCTTAGTATGTTTAAGTGTGTTAAATCTCCGAATCACGATTGTAATGGCTTAGCAATAGCAATACTAACTGTTAGATTAGACGATTTGATTTTGAACCCTACGAGTATATATATCTTTACAACATTATAAAACTTCAACTAAAATTCAGACTAATAAACTTACAGAGACGCTTTTGTAAAACTTTATCTAGATTAGTTCAGTGCTACTATATCACTGTAATTCATACCAAGTGAGGAATCCAAATGGTCAGTGTCATTAGCCATATGTACAACCTGAAAGGATTATTTCAATATTAAGTTCAATTTTTAATTAAACTTAGATTGTGGTTAGTAGTAGAAGTAAAAATGGACATTTCATTTTATTTAGGACTCATCAACTAGATAGATGTACTTGTATCTCATTATTATGAATTACACTGATAACCACTATCTAGCTTTGTTTAAAATAACTGTAATTTAATCCGATTGTTCAACTAATCAGCTAAGGACTAACATACTGCAAAAGGCACTGATTGATTACAGTAATTAACATGAACCACCGTTGGAAGATTCAAAAATATAAGAAACGAAAAAAGGGGTTTACATCTTTTAATTTAATTTAATCCTTTCATCACTAAATATACTTGGTGAACTTTTGTAATTTTAACCATTTAGGCAACAAAAAATCTAATTGGAATGGATTTAAATTCATCCATCTAACGTGTTTTCACATTCTTAATATACAAGGTGAATTGTATTTTTTTTCTTTTAAACAAAATTATTAACTTTCATCATGATCTAGAAAATTTTGTATAAATGAATTCTGATTTTAAATAAATTAAACAGAATAAGAGATTATTTATGTGATAAAAAATTTGGTAATAATAATAATAATTATAATTATTATAATTATTCCAGGTAGATTTATGTTCTAACCTGATTATTTCCGTATTTTAACTGTTAATGACCGTAATGTTTATTGTAGAAGAGATAAAAATCCTTTGATAAATCACTCTTCTGTTTTTATTATGTAAATGACACCTATTTTTACCGGGAAAAAATTATCGATAATCTAATTATAATAATCAACCAAGCTTGAAAAAGTAGATAGTATAAAATTGTAAGGGGTCAATTACGTGATTTTTATGGATAGTACAATTTCATGAAGCATGTGTATGGATTAGAAAAAAATGAATAAGTTTTAGGCATCAGTTTTATTTACTGACCAAAACGAAATGTTTAAGTCGTTATTTCAAGCTTTTGATTACTATAATCAGCATTATTGAGATTCTTGTGAAAGCTAGTGGTATTTTCTGAAATCCCAGCACACAGTAATCGTTGGTGCTTACTGCTGATGAGACTTATACCGGAACGAAACAGCCGTCCAGATTAATCAGTACACACCAGTCTAAATTCCTGAATAAAAACAAGAATTCAGTGCTTCTTAATTATTAACAAGTATATAAAACAAATGGGTGAGGTCGTGCAAAATCCGTAGATCAATCAGAGTTAGACATTAGCACCGTTGGGTGCGGGCCCAGTGGTCCGATGGTTAGGCGTTCGCTCACAATACCGAAGGTCCCGGGTTCGAATCCTGCGAGGTGCAGGAGTCGTGTATACGCACTGCTGATGAGTCCCACACCGGGACGAAACGGCCTTCGAGTGCTTTCAGGTTTCTAATGGTGGTCTGACAATGATTGATTGATGATTTCAAATGTGCAAAAACATATTCTTGTTAGAATCTGTAATTTTTTGGCATTATTCATTAACAATAATAATAATCATTATTATTATTAATTAATAGTGAATACAGAAGAATTAAAGAAAGTAGAGGAAGGAAGTGGAACAAAAAGGCATCTTTAAACAAGAAATAAAAGTATGAAAAACAATCCAATAATAAAACGACAGAGGAAAAGAGAAAAGAAGTAAACGTCAGATTGAAATAAAAAAGAAAAACACACTGAAAAAGCAAATTTCATGTTGATCTCTTTCCTACGGATCCTTTGTTATCTCACGAATTATTTTGTTAAAATAAGGTAAAAATGAAGAATTTTTTTTAGAGAAAATTAAATCATATAAGCCGCATAAGATTGGTGATGATAAATGGTTTCACTTGTTGGAGCTTGTTCAATTGAATTTACTGCCTACTAAACGGGGATCCATCATATCACAACTATTTTAGTTCATCTTAACTTGAAACAAGTTGTAATTTCTGTCAATTGTTTTGTCAATTTCGCCATTACTTAGGAAATTTAGACAAGAAAATTGTTTTAAGTTCAATACATGATAAGAAATAAATGGAATTGACTATCAAGAAAGACGAAGAATAAAGGAGAAGTACTTGAAGAACTATTGTGTCACTGGGTGATTGATAAAAGATTAACATTGTTTTGAATTCATAAAATACCTAAGCAGCATATATCACACATTTAATACAAATATAAGTTTGATTACATCTGCATATTACACATACACGGACACAGATACATTATAGTATTAAGGAAGAACAAATTCAGTGGAGAGAAAAAGAAGTCAAACTGTTAATGAGTAATAAGCAAAAGAAAAGTGTACACATGAAATTAAATCTTTCGTCATTCTTTACAATGTAATCTATAAACAAACGGAATAAATAGTGATAATTATAATCATTTAAAAAGAATTAACAAAAATATCTATAAATTTTTAGGCAGAAAAAGGAAACAGAAAAATGAAAGAGTTTGCCAAGATTAATTGTTTCGTGTGAAGCATGTTCAATATGAGATGTACTCATATGTGTTCAAACATACGAAAAATCAATGCTAATGATTCCATCGAAAATCACAACAACAAAGCAAAGTGTGTAAAGTATGAAAGAAAGCCAAACAGATAAAATAAGATAGATAAGATGAAAAGTGTTCTTTTTTTTACAATAATAGTAACACATATATGATATATTTTCATAAGGTGATCAACAGAAATATATATATATATATATCTTTCATTTTTCTGATAGGCAGATAGATAGATAGATTGACATAGATAATTATCTATCGATTATGCTCAATGGATGAATTAGGAAATGTCATAAGTTTACGATATGGTGCATAGGGAATTTGTGAAGCAGGTGGAGGCATTCCTGGTTTTGTTTCAATCGGCGGAGGTAAATTTCTATATGGATCAGGACGTAATGTAAAACTTGTTTTTGTCTGATTTTGTCTAATATCTATCATTCCAGTGATTAGTGTTTCATTGGCATTTTGTAATGGTATTTGTGATTGAGATAAATGTGTCATTGGAAGTCTATCTGTGGAATCAGTAAATCCTGGATTACAGTCTGGTGGTGTGATCGGTGGTCGTTCATTGATTAAAATCATTGGTTTCGTGGGAGATAAACATGTTTTTTCTGATCCAGTTGAAATATTTCCACTGTTCATCCTCTCTACAATTGAAAAAGAAGGCAGATCACAGGGGTAGTTATCTTTTTTAATATTTATAAACGAATGTATTTATTTTGTGATGACTGGTAGTATCTATGACTTAAATTCGATAGAATCACTAATACAACGTGTAAAAATCAATTAATTCCTTCGGCTAAGTACATATGTATATCTATATACATATGTTTTTTCAGGCAGAGTTTTGGAGGTTTGTGTTTTTACACTTTTGAATTCATCAATCAATCATTGTTAGATCACCATTAGAAACCTGAAAGCACTGGACGGCCGTTTTGTCCTGATATGGGACTCATCAGCAGTTCTAAGTTTGAAAATACAGGTAACAGTAACAAAACGGTGATGAGCAAATTAACATAATAATAATATTAATCATGATCAGTGAAAATACGATGAAGAAATAGTCAATCATTTGACTGATTATTAAGACTAGTTACATAAAAATAAAATATAAAGATAACGTAAGTTTGGGCTTAAGAATTAGTCAGTCATTTTCAATGACTATTTAAGTATAGGGACGAAAATAAATGAAGAGTTTGGAGTTGATTTGAGAGCCAGAGCAAATTTGTAGACTGTATTGATAATTTTTTGATACAAAGGTCAGGTTTATTTGGATGAATTGCAATAATTTAAGGTCTGTATAGGAGAGGATATTTAAAAGTAGAGGGTAAATCAGATTGATGTTCACTTATATAGTTTTAAAAGTTTTATATTTACTTTATTTTCAGTTAGAACTTTGGAAATTTGTGTTTTTACACATTTGAAATCATCAATCAATCATTGTCAGACCGCCATTATAAACCTGGAAGTACTGGACGGCGGTTTCGTCTTGGTATGGGACTCATCAGCAGTGCGCATCCACGACCTCTGCACCTCGTAGGACTCGAACCCGGGACCTTCGGTATTGTGAGCGAACGCCTAACCATCGGACCACTGGGCCGGCATCGAACGGTGAACTGTGCTCATTAAAAGCATGGTGATAAGGTTCATTATTGTTCGTTCTTCGCTTAACTATGAAAAGTGATATTCCAAAGTATGAATCCCTAGACTCATATATACTCTTATGTTGTTTGTATTTTCCTTCCTTATGTTATCGATTTTAACAACTGACCAACTCACTCTTTAAGATCTAAATTCCAGTTTATTATTGTTATTATGTTATCTTATTCGTCACTATTTCTTCAACATTGATATTAATGTTCAGTTTTCATTTTGTTAAGTTATTCTATTTCTCATGTCTAAACGGGGATATATTCAAATTAGTAGTGTATAAACTACATGATTTTATTTTTAAAAATAATTTACTTTTCTTGTATAGAATTTCATATTATTTCATTCATTAAATATTAATATATATTTTTAATAGATTGTTAAACATAATCAAACATAATTTTGATTGTATTTTTAATAGAGAATAAAGTTATAGTTTCTGTTATTTTCCAGTTGCTTTTTTTTCTAACAATAACTTGTAAACATGAATATCTAATGATTGTACATTGAACAATATTGTAACAACTATATTTTCTCATGTGGAACATACAAAGAATTCATGTTATTGTGATTGGATGATTTTTTTTAATAGAAAACTTCTGTTATTTCTTTTTTTTTAAAAATAACTGACAATGAGATATAAACATTACAATATTTAACCATTCTGAATTCAACTAATCTAAATAAACTTTTTAATAAATTTTTATTTTCTCAAATTTATCATAGTTAACGAAGTATTTGATATGCTCAAAACTATTACGAGTTCATCTACTCGGTGAACAGAAGGAGGGTCAATGACTCAGTGACACGATAGGCTATTCTAATCCGTTGTCCCAGGCCCTGCTAACAAAAGCAAGAAGTTTTGAGTTGGCTTAGAGAATGTATTCTACAAGCACCCAGAAGATACGAAGTCAACAAGCACACAAATCAAGCTTATTTAAACAGTGACAGCAATGTCCTTGGGAGAGTCACAAAAAAGCGTACTAAAATAATCCATCAGCCAGTGACAGTCAAGGATTTTCCGAGTGGGAAATGTAAGCTGTAGGTCAACTAAGCGTCTCTTGGCGTGAAAAAAAGAGATTCAAAATTTCAGAATAAAATGACAAAATCAGGACTTTTCCAAGTGAGTTCTGGGGACCTAACATCCCTAACAGTATTACATAACAACCCTTTGTGATCTACATGCAAACCTTGGAGATTCGGTGATCAAGAAGAAACCTTTAGAAAACTATTTTCAATAGTTTATCATTTTTTTTCAGTCTACTTTTTTACAATTTTTGACGAACAGTTTTTATTTTTTTATTTTGCTCAAGAAATAGTCACACTGTTCACTTTTAATATAGTCAAAGGTGTACTTCCTTTTTCGTTTTTACCATTATTAACTTATTGATGGTCTATTTTGCTGGTACAATTAACTGTTGGGGGCGCTAGATATCTCGGAACTCACTTGGAAAAGGTCCTAATTTTGTAATTTTATGTTTCCGCGCCAAAGACGCTCATTTTGACCTTCAGTTTGCACTTCCCACTTGGGAAATCCTTGACTGTCATTGGTTGATGGATTATTTTAGTACTCTATTTTGTGGCTTTCACCAAGGGCGTTTTATCATTGTATGAATGAGCTTGAGTTGTGTGCTTGTTGACCTCGTACCTTCTGGGTGTTTGTGGAATACAGTTAGTTCTCTACGTCTTATCAAGACTTCTTCCTCTAGTTAATAGGGCCTGGGAAAATCAGATTAGAGTAGCCTATCATGTCACTGAATCTGATCTTCGTTCTGTTTATCTAGTAAGATGAACTCGTAATACTCGAAGCATATAATTAACAGAGAAGATTATGAATTTGTAATGAAATGGATTAAAAAAATATATAATTTATGAAACAATCAAACTAAGTGAATTAAAATTTATTTATACTTTGGAATTATTGAATAAATGTCAGTTAGTTGTCAGAAAATTGATTTACAATCCTTTTTTTCTTTTGGCATTGTTTTTAATTTGACAATCATTACTGATATGGAAAAAGTAAATATCATCACACTAGAATATAAGTTAAATTGAACAAATTCATTGTTTCAATGTAATTTTTCTGTAGGTGATTTCGCAATACAAACTCAAATTGTTTCATAGGCTGGCAGATTTTGAAATATTATGCAGTGTTTCTAAATGATACATCACATATTATAATTGATATTTCAGTGGGATTTTTATCATTTAACTACGATGAACCATGCTACTAACATTATGACCATTCTATGTTTATATATTGTCTAATGTGACACTGAAAACTATATTATTTCATTGTTTTTTCTTAGACGTAGTTTAATCATTTGCATAACCGGAAAATCGTATTACTTATGAGTAAAATAAATATTAGTGAAATAAATTATTTCAAAAATAGAGGAAATCTTAGTGTATACACTGTCAGACAAACCTCTATAGTCATCAAAATGTATCAGCAAAACAGATTGAGTTGTATTAATTTTAATAAGTTTTCTGTATCTATCGTCATATCCGGAATCTGGACATAGAAACAATCTAATTGAGTTTCAGTCATTTTTATTGATTGTTTGAATCTTTCCATTGGTGTTTAAGACTACAATTGATTAGTCTCTCTTTGGCATATGTGTATCCTGTACGGATTGGCTTGATACTGCCGTTAGATTACAAGCATCATTATTATTATTACTACCCAATACAAATGAATTAATCGTCAACTCATTACACAAGCCAGTGGCTAATTGCACTCAGTAATTATTTGGACAATACGATAGCATTTGAAGCGTAAGGTATTGGGTTCGAGTCCCGTGTGGAACATCATCTCTGAGATGCAGCAGGTAAATCCAATGACGAGTCCCAAATGCTAGTTACCGCTAGTCACTACTCACCTCTGTTTATAAGGCTTGTAACCTGTAGTCAATAAATATCTGGTCAGTCTGCACCGGATGTACATATGCAAAGAGACTGACCAATTACAGTCTTAAACATCAATGAGAAAATTCAAAAATGTAATTAAGTAATTTTAATTATTTCTGGAAATATACTGTACAAGATTTAAAGTATAAACATATCCTAATGTAAATAGAACGATGAGTAGTATCATAAGTTCAGTAAGAGGGGAATTAGTCTAATGCGGCGAGAACTTTAACACTGGACATGTTCCAGTAATGACGAATACTTAAGCGACAAAAAGTATTAGTTAGTAAGTGATAGCCTCCAAAAAGTGCTTAAATTTTGCTACAACATTTAAACTTTAAAGATTATTACCACATGCCGAACATAGAATTAGAGTTAAGAAAACATTTATTTCATACATATATATATGGATCATATTAGCGCAACAAACTGAAAATCAAACAGTCAACTCACCTAGTTTTGTATTTTTCAATTGACGACCATTAGTTTTTAATTTTTTTGGACTAGATATTTTTGTTAACATTTTTTCAGTTTCAGGATTTACAACACTATGTCCACTATTCACAATTGATGTATGAGATGTTAATCCATTTGTACAAGATTTACCACGTTTACGATACCATACAAATGCTAATATACCTAATAATAAAATGATAAGTGATATACAAATTGGTAAAAGAGTTCCAAGTAGAATTATTCTTGATCTATTGATTTCAGGTTCTATAGATAAAGGTGACAATGATGATGATGATGATGACGACGGTACAAATGCGTCAGTGTCAATTAATTCTTTATAGTCTCTTTTGTTATTATAACTTGGACTAATCACTTCATGATTATTATCATATCCAGGTCCAGGTATAAATATTGGTGGAGCTTCTGAAGGGAAGAAAACCAAGGAGAAAAATACTGAATGAACCATACATATTACGATTGTTAAAGAAATGCATTACAGTATCTGTAAAGGATGAAAATAACTCAGTACAAAAAATCTACTATCAAGACATTACTATTTACTAAAATTATGATAATTGTATTTAGCATTGTTAAAAATTAATACAGTTTAATTTAATTTTTAATTTAAAACATAATTTCTAATAAATTACACGGCATGTAATCATTTTATTGTTGCTTATTGAAAAATAGTCATTCAATGACTTTTGCTATTCAGTAAAACGATTTAGTTAAATTTTTCTGAGAAAGGAAGTGAAGGAATTAGCTTTACCTGGAGCACTGGACAGCCGTTTCATACCAGTAAGCAGCTTAACAGCAACGCACATCCACGACCCTGCACGCTGGAATCAAACCCGAGACCTTCAGTCCTGTTCGTGAACACTTAATCTCTAGATCACTAAGTTGGAGTTAAACGGACTCGATGTCTAACTTCAATCATTTCATGATGTTGTGCGACCTTCACCCATCGCCTGCGGTGCAAAACTGTCTTCTACCCGATAAGAATTGATTTCCACTGGTCACGAATCCTCACATGAACTCCAAAAATACATAGTAAAGCTAGTTATTAATGAGCAAATAATTATTATTAATAAAGGGAATTTGCGGAGAGTGTACTATTTTCATGATTGAAATCACGAATGGATCTAAGCAAGACTACCATTAGAAACCTAAAAGCACTGAATGGCCATTTGGTCCTAGTATGGGGCTCATCAGAAATAGCTCTCACAAAGTTAATAATTTTTAATGCCATTAATTGGTTTTCAGAAAATCCAATTAACGATTTCTCTATGTGGGTTATGTACTTGATCAGTCCACTAATGAACACTCAAGTAAAGTAGGCTGTATAGTGCCATATGACTTTGAATAAGTCTAGGTTAGTTATAAAAGAAAATAATAACATAAAATAATTATTCACTTATAAAATTTTATCCTATTTTCCCCAAGTCTATAAGGAATTTAAATTTACTATGCTCAATTATTACTTAAATAATGGTAGCTTATCTATATAAATGTATTCACATATTTGTTTAAATTAACTAAAGTCCTATGGTTAACTTATTTTTACGATAATTAACCATTAAAAAAAATGTCAATAATTTTCAAAACAATATTCAATAATTATAAAATAAATCAATTATATAATTACGTTGTGTTTGAATACAAGGACCAAGTCGTTCAATTTGTATTTCATCCAATTGACCAACACCAGCTTCTTTTAAATGTTTTACGAAATCCATTGATGGTTGTTGTAAATCTTTCCGGATTTCTGATAATAGACGATTTTCTAATTTCAATATTTCACGTTCAGGACAATTTTTTGCAGTGAATAATAAAGCACGTTTTGTTCTATGCTCATGTTTGTTTTTTCTAATTGTCGGCTCATTATGATGAAATGTTGATGTTGACAAGGAACAATTCTCATGCTGACTGTTACATTTTAATTGTGAAGAGATGTGATTGGAATTTATACTACGTTTAACTACTGTATGATGTATATTTCTAGACCACTGGTTCCAATATTCTTGCTGGGTATAAGAATCCATTGTTTCCGTGGTTTTATTTAAATTAATATTTTCAGTAAGAATGAGAACTGATTTTTGCGCCCATATAACAGAAAATCCAGATGCTGTGTGAAAAAGTAGGTTTTTTTTTTCAATTTTAAATAAACGTACAAATGAGAAAAAAGCAGTCATTTATAATAAAATGATGAAAAAAAAACTCAATATCCTTTCACACAGTAATAAACTGAGAAATTTATCTACTTAATTTTAAAATAGCTCACAATGAAATATTTTTTAAACAATATGGTTAGAATTTTTATGAATCAGTTTATGTCTAGGGGTTTCCGGTTGATTTTATTTCAATCGTTTGTTATTAAATTAAAGCCCACAGTGATAGTGAATCAAGTAGCTTATTGGATAAGTTGTGAACTGATGTGTGAAATTTGGCCACTACAGAGAACTGGTGATCGTAACATTACTTACTGTCTAGTAACTGATTAGTTAAAACTTCTCATCTCTTCAGGAGGCAGTTTTTGAGATAACCTCCCACGGAATCAAGTTTGAACTTTTGAATAAAAGTTAGTCTTATGAAAGTCACATGTTTGCTGTACCTATGAATTTCAAACAGTACTAAACGTAGCTTTAGGGATTGTAAAATTGGTGGTCTTCAATCATCTGATATCGACATTTCTCTTCAATCTGCATAGTTGTACTCAACATATTTTGTTATCTGACCTAAATAAAATGATTATAACTCTTGACACATTCGCTTATTTTGAACAATAGATTAGTTGTCAGTCTTATATGTACACTCACGAATAAGAAGCACAGTAGTCTTAGTATCAATGAGACAACGTGGACATTATTCTTTTAAAATAAAATCATCATAATTAAAATTTTTTGAATTTAACTAGATTAAGAATTGCTTTAGAAATATAAATGTTTGTAATTCAGTTTTCTACATTAAGTAGTTTTGTATAAAATAAAATCGTAAACCACAGTGCTTGATCAGCATTACTGAAGCAGTGGAAATTTGTTTAGAATAACATCGACAAATACTATTTACACTTTGAGTTGACTTTCTCGTACGTTTTGTCTACGTCAAACAATAATTAACTCAAGATTTGGTTAGGTAATTATGTAAGGGTTAAGTTGTATTCTCTGAAATCGATTTTCACACATTAAGATCAGCCAGAGCACCAGAAAGGACTAAATAGTCTTTTCATTTTAGTTTTCGACTACACAGTCATATATCTGTTCATCCACTCAACTAAACATAACACCTTTAGAGCACTAATTTTGAGTTCATTTTTAACTACTTTCTACGTAGAGTTGTTTATGATGCAGTATGATCACTTAATTTCATGAAAAAACATTATTGTTTTCTACTAGACTTTGAAGTATTACTCAATTTCCCAGAATTCACAAGTTCATTTGTGCTTTCTTTTATGTTTAGCTCAAAATACACACTATGTTTTTTTTCACATACCCTGGTAGTTGAGTGTAAGCAAAATAATGTCCATATCATTTCGACATATCATGCTTCCCATACAATGAGGTCGAAGATAATCATCCAAAGTTGAAATTAATAACCATCTATCCACTAAACTATGCCCTCCTGTCCATGGTCGACTATGATCTGCACTAAAATGCATTACTACACGATGATTGAAATTTATTGGCAATTGTGGATTGGATCCAGCTACATATATTGAAAACTGTACACCCACATTCTTTTCAGGATTATCTGTAATGCTAAGTAAAAAAAAAACACAGAATTTATGTCAAACAGTTGAAATTTCTGAATTATTGCAAATTAGCAGAAAAATCGATCCCAATTTTTAAATAAAATATTGGAGTAGAGTTAGACTGTAACTAGGAATGCAATCCAGAGTGAATGTTTCGTTCTGCTTGGAACTCATCAGCTGAATGTACCTATGCTACAGTGTCATTGATTACAAGGCAGCTGGAACCTAACACTTTTCCCTGCAAACTCTCAAGGCTATATCCACTGGACTGTCTAGATCAGACAACCACCAATAGGGTTGAGAGGTATGTATTTTATTCGTAGGGATTTGAATCTTCTCGTTGGTGATATTAAGCACCGGTGAATTATTATATTACAATGAGATTGTATAATTTTTCTTAAGTAGCGTCCGTAATCATATTGTAAATTGAACTATGAAATTTGAATTTGAGAAATATTTACTCTTAAAAATTTTCATGCAAGAAAGATTAACTTTCTTTGAATATTGAATATTTATTCCGAGAACAATTCAAATACTCCATGCGGAAATGCTATAAATAACGCCAATAAATTGTTCACTTGGACTCTTTGTACAAGAATTACAGTGATAAAATAAAGACAAATATCAAAGTAACAAAGTGTTACTTGGTTATCTTTAAGTAATTTAAAGAATTACCGTTTTCCTGTTTGTTATTATTTGTTGTTTTGATTTTAAAGAGTACTAAATTTTCAAGTGGTAAGTGAAAGTTATGTTAAAAAGAACATCAAAGGTATAAAGGAAAAAAATAAGTACACTTATTCTCAGTTGTTATCTTTTATCTGTCTAGGAAAAAGTTTCCTCTTATTTTTTTTATGTATAAGAATGATATTTTTAGGTTTTATCTTCAAACTTTTGGTCTTTAGTTTTTAACTTAAATTGGTGAATACACAGGTTAGACTGTGGGAGTGATTCAAAAAAAAACAAACAAACTTCCAAACAAGTAGGGTCAAGTTACTTCAATGGGATTTCATCTACACTTATTCATGATGCATTGTGAGATCGAAATGGTAATACTTATTTTATTCTGTAGAACCCAACTGGTAAACAGTCTGATATGCTAGTTTGGGTTACTGTTTAATGAAGTATTATGATTAAAGCTTTCACAAACAGAATTATATAACTTGTTCTAATTGTTAACATAAACTACCATTGAGTTAGATAAATTCATGGGAAATATCAAGAGATGGACAAAAAATATTTTTCATAGGCTGGCGGCCTACGCTCCGTTGAAATGTAACAGGCGTAACTAATAAGCAAGTAAGTAAGTAAGTAAGTAAGTAAGTAAGTAAGTAAGTAAGTAAGTAAGTAAGTAAGTAAATATTGGTTACATGTTCATAAATGTCAACTTATTCTTTGTGCATGACAAATACATTCATAATTTGTTCTGATTGTGCAAAATATGTGTCATTTAAATTGACACTAAATTATTTGACTACTGCTTTCATTTTTCCCTAATCATCGTAGAAATATTCTACTCTAGAAGTAGAGTAAGTATATTTCAACAGTAAATATGATTAAAAGAAGAACATTGAAGGTAAGAGAAGAAGAATAAGCTGAATTCATTTATTTTCTGGATTCTTTTCAGCCTGCTTCCAATATACATACTTGATATCTGAATATCAGATTAATTCTAATCAATGAAGATTGACAAAAGATTTAAAAGTATGGTCGCCTATTTTTTTTATGTTAGATTACATAAGAATTAAGTAATTACAATTAGTAGTATAGAAAAAGATTACGTAACTGAAATTTGTAAATAAGATTACTATGACTGCACTGTGCAAATGTGGCCTGCAACATTTAATGGCTATTACTTCAACAAAGTGTTGTGCATTTGTCTTGTTCCTTACTGAAAGTTTCTTTAGGAATATTTAATGACTCAATGTGTGTATTGATTTTGTTTAAATTTTACTGAATGATCTCATAAAAATGTTTAAGATATTTAGTATACTTCACAATAATAATAACAATAATAATCTATTGATGTTTCACAGTTTACACCAATGATTAATGTTAGTTGAAATCTGTGACCAGCAAAGTTCGACGACATCATCTGTCAGGTAAATATCATCAGCAGTGATAGACGATTTTCGAATATCACTTTGAATTCATTGAGGTCAGATGTGTCAACTATCAAATATCAGCTCACTGATACAAAGCTTAAACATTAACTACGAGGAATGAAGGTCTTTTTGTTCAGTCTCTTGTCGAGACCATGAATGAGCACGGTTAGGGAATTAGACACAAGTACAAAACGGCTTTTTAGTCTTCAGTAGTTAAATTACTATAATTAGTCTGTGATACAAACTATAAAATGTTTTAATCTATACGGTTATCTGTAATCAAAACATATTTTCACAGTTTAAATTACGAGCTGATCTCATCTAAAGCACCGCTGTGAGCCTGAGAACGATGGAAGTCCATTTTGTCCTAGTGCGGGACTCTTCGACGATGCACTCCCATCAACCCGTATTCAACTATGAAAATTTAAAATTTTTTAAAATTTACTTTAACGGATAAAAAAAAGTTATTGAATTATTCGAATTATTTATGTAATCGTAGAACTTACTGGAATTTATGACTTGAAGGTTGAACTGAATTACCAATAATAATGCCAAATATTGTTGATTTATCTTTTTCTAAACCAATCCAATGTGATGAGCCTACTTGTCTACCACCTTGACACAGAACAAATTAAGAAAAAGTACAACAAGTTAATGTTGATTTACTTGATAACACTTTGTTTCATTATTGACTGAATAAAATGACATTCTTTCAGTCATAGATGTCATTCAATAATATTTATGTTATCCATTAGGATTAATTACTCTATTAAAATTCTAGTTTTAATCATTAGATTATTTTATATTCACACTTGTGCCATTTCGAAATATTATTGATTGCTTTCATCGTTACACAGAAGGGATATCTTGCGTGGCTGTTTGGTCGTTAGTTGATTTTTCTGTTATTTTTTCCAGATTCTTGCAGACGCGCTGTTCTGAGAACTCTCCCAGTATACCATTTAATTTCAGGCTTAACCTAAACTTGAACATTACTTCAGTTCATTGAATTGCTCAGATAAATTCTATTATTACTAATCACTAATCTTTGTATAACTGAATGAACTTGATAGTAAGTTTGATCCTTTTGAAGTCTTTATCCAATTTCTCTCCTCCATAAGTCTACCCCCTTTCGCTTATTTGTATGTAAAGTAAGTAAGTATGAATCGATCAATGTTATGCCATTATTCGATACCTAGAAGCATTGGATGGCGGTTTCGTCCTAGTATGGGACTCACCAGAAGTGTGCATCTACAATACCACATGCGGGAATGAAACCAAGGACCTTCGGTCTTGCAGTCGAACGCCTAACCTCCCGAAAAATTTTAAAACATAAATGACTAGCTCACTTATCAAAAGTATTCTTCAAATAGCTGTAAATGAATTTCTTGAAAATATTATACTTTGAAGTCAAAGAATATGATAAAATTGTATTATACTGCAAAATATTACTGCTTACCTATATCGTACAAATGAACATTGATTCGAGACATTGTTGCCAAAATATCATCATTCACTATTTTACGTCGAAAACCTTCACCTAGTAAAACATTTAAAAGCGAGAAAATTCAGTGAAAAATTGTATGCTTACAAAATGTAAATTATTTCTACTTTTTCAGCAGTTATTTGCAAAGTTTTCCTCTTGAAACTAAGTCAAATAACTATCAACTTATTCTATGTCTTGTGTAATGGCTAAAAAAATGTCCTAATCTTAACAAAATATAATATTTTCAGTAATTTATTATCATTATAAGCTATAATAAAACAAATACAAGTTTGACAATTTGAATTGTTATAGTAAAACAAAATCACAATGTAAGCACATGAACAAGGAAATGATGACGATAATGATGAGAGAGAAATTCAAGTGCAATTCACATATTTTAAAGATAATTGTCATTATAAACGGAAGTCAACTAGCGAATCATTAAAAATTGTATTGTATTAGACAACCGTTTTAGCTCAGTACCGAACACCTTAACAGTCGTATGTATCTACCTTTCTAGTTTTTAATGCTTCAGCATTTAACGTCTAAGAGAGCAGGAATAATAATCAAAGGCTATATGTGTTTTAATAATCGGTTAGAAGTCTAAACGAAGGCCTAGGACAGAGAACGCTAGTCGGCGACCTATGCTCCATCAGGGGTAACATATGTATGTAAGTAAGCTATGTGTTGTAATATAGTTTGTCAGGAACTCTAAGTATATGCATAGACGAAAGAAGAAATCTTGCACACATTGATACAAAAATGTATACATCATTCATAAACTCAGTGGACAAGATCGATAATATGATGAATTAAATTACTAATGATAAAATTAATACAAATAATTATTACACTCATTCTATTTAATCATAAAAGAGAATAACTATTTAGTTAAAATTTTGGTTTCTTGATAGAGCTGATTTAATCATTGTTATTCTTGGTAAAATAGACAACAAAAACCCAAGATTTAGTACGATTGTTAAATAATTCAAGAATGTCTACTAAAGTACAATAAATATAAACTCATTCATATATAAATTATTAGTTTATGATGATGTTGTCCTGCTAGTTATCAATGTATGATAGTAGTCATTGATGGGTTTTTATGTTCAAATCTCATACACTGCCAGTGAAAGAATCACTGGTTTCATGTTAGGAAACAAGATTGATTTTTTGTTTCTAAACATCATTGTCATTAGACATTCTAATAAAACTATTGAATTCAGAGTTACGGCTAAACTAATAACAACAAGAAATTCGTGCACTGGTAGACTGACTTTCCATCTTAGTTACCCAACAATGTTTTTCGGTAGTTTCTAATAGTTTGCTTTGTCTTTGATGTAATGTCGGAGAAATTATGCAAAACACTGGTTATGAATGATTTAATTTTTTTTTTGAATCATAGTTACATGAATTCATTTCATGAATTCCATACCAAGTTGAAGATTTTCAATCACATGCTTTAAACAATAGAAGTTGAATGAAATTCTGTGATCTAAATTCCCAGCAAACTATCTAACTCTTGTGTGACTGACTATATTGTCCTTTTTTATCTGATTCAACATTGGCGTCATTGTATTTTTAGTAAATTAAAACTATGACTTTAAATACCTACCTATTGACTTTCTTGTTACAACGTTTAGCTGTAGTTGGTAGATTATATAAGAGAATCTATCGTGCTGTCAACTTGAGAGTTTTTTTATTAAAAAAAGCCATTTTTAAGGTGCTTTGTATAGTTCCTGAAGTTTGTCGTTTTGTCACTCAATCAATTCAACTAAAAATATAAGCAAAATCACGCTTTGATCCAGCGTTAAAACAAGCTGTTTTATTTTTCAGTAAAAACACTTTTCATAACTTATTAAATATCATGTTAAGTGTGTTTCTAATCTTCATGAAAATTTCTAGTTTATTTAAATACGTACAAGTGACGTATCATTTAAATATATTGACCTTAACAAATTAAAACATACCAGTAAATACTGTGAAATTCATAATCACATCATTATCGAGACTTGAGAATGACGATAATCTGTTTTGAATAGATTGTCCTGTTGGATCTTGACCTTCAAATTTATTAGTATGACGCGCACAACTTCCCATACGATCAACTACAGCTGCTTCAACTGTTCCAAGTTCAGATGATTCTATATGTGCTCTAAAATGATTTGATGGGGCTGACCATGGAGATAGATAAAGTTGACCATTGTTAGCAAGACCGGTAACAAGACCTAGATTTTTCTGAGCTGAAACCAAGGTCGGCGCAAAAATAAGTAGATTCTGTAAATGATCAAATTTATCCCATGGACAGTTAGGGATATTTTCATCTAATTTACCAGTTTGTTGTTTTCCTTGATCCTGAAGCAATGAAAGTTGAGCCCATGTAACCGATAAACTGTTTACATCTGAAAAATAGTGGGAAACCAATTGTAATGTAAATTTGAGAATGAAACTTTAAGTTTGGAATTTCTTAACTATTGAAATTGAACATCTCTAAAGTACAATATTCATCAACGATATCAATAGTTTTATCATTCCAATGATATCGGTGGGAAATAAACTCAAATTTTTACCTACACAATGATTTTTGAAATCGCAGAAATGTTTAATATTATCAATGTGATAAGTAACAGTGTCCTATATGATATAACTTGAAAATACAATATTCAACGGATTGTCAATCTCTATTTCTCAGTGATAGGAAGTTAAGTAACATTAGTTTGATAATGATAGTTTTCGAACTGTAACATTGTACAAAGTAGTTTTAGTAGATAAATACTGAAATGTATTCGATAACAGAATAGATAGATTGGTTGGCTGATATAACTAGTTTTTCACAGGCTCTTTTACAAGAAAACCATTAGTAAATACAAAATGAAACTGTTAACTTTATTTATTGTGACTAGACATTCTATCGGATTTATTTTAGACGAACTTGAATTACAAAACACAAGAGCTTAACTAGAAAATATTTTAATTACAAAATGTTTTCTTCATGGTATGTAAATGGGTTGTTCGCTAAATTAAAAATGAAAGAGAACAAATCGTCTTACGCCCAGAACAATTAAAACTATGGATCTAATTTTATTGTAGTGTTAATTACGGAAAAATGGAATTTGAGCCAGCATTTTACTTAAAGTTCATCACTTTGACTGAAGTAAGTAAGTAAGTAGAGTTCTTCGAACATAATGTGAATAGGAAAATATTTTTTGCATGTATTGAATGATAGTCGACAGTAACAAATAGAGACAAAGAAGAATTTTATACATAATACTAATTTAATTATAATAAAATCAGGTAGGGAGGCTGGATATTTTGTGAGTATTTTATATAGAATACATTAGTCCCTAAAAGTAGATTTGATCAACTTCCTAAATCTCTATTGAATACATATTTATTTGTTTAGCACAAAGATCGATGTTTTGTGGTATATATTTTTCCACACCACAGAAATTGGTTTTATAAAACACATTGTTTCTGTTACAAAACCGTGAAAATATATTTGATTTTGAGGTCTGTGATTTTCAAATCAATCAAAAGGTTTCATTTAGATCATTATCAAGTTAATGAAAAATCTGGACAATTTTGAAAAGACATTCTACAGTTGCTTTTGCATGGTAGTTTTGAATAGTGTCTTCAAAGTTCCAACAAGCTTTTAATCAGAGGGACTAATGAAAATTAATTAATGAAATTCAGGATAATACATTTTGTCAAAATTATAAGCTTTATTTAGGCTTGAATTAAGTTTCTCCGTGTCTTTAGATTTTCAATGTTAAATGGATTTTTCGTTAAAATCGTTAATTTGAATAAAAGTAGGTAGTTTTTTTATTCCTCATACTTTATTCAAATTCATGAAAATTTCAAGTGAGAAGATTTTGTGGCATTCTTTCTGGTTGTATTGGTTGAAATGACCAAAAGTATTCGAATAAAACTCACCGAAGTTTACTTAAAGTATGATTAGTCTCTTATATATCAGAAGGCGTTAGGTGACTAAAACTAGTGGAGAAGAAAACCTGTATCTAGATTTCATGTTAGCTGAAATTTTCCAGAAACCTGTATTCTTGAGAGAATCGATGATTTCTGCGAGATTCGAACTAGCATTACCCAGTTTTACTGTGTGAAACTTTAGTTTGGCTGCAAGCAACTTCTCGTAAGACAGAAATATTTTGCAAATGACTAATCTTGTAGTTTTTATTGTTAGTCGGATTATATAAATCAAGTCGCAATAAGACTACAAGTGTGTTTGACCTAACATCATGTTCTCTGTGTCAGTTTTTTAGATTGTTAGGGATTGTAGGAAGAAACTGCGGACCTTACTCTCACGCTTGTTGGCACACGTTCAACTGTCTAACATCTCAACACAGTGCATGCAATACCTTCTTGATATCGACTTGATCAGCAGTTCAAAGTCTGGATAAATATGCTATCACACACTGCTCCAGAATCAATAAATTGTGTGTACTCATCAGTTTACCATGATATTTTATTAATTTAATATGTTTTCTTTTAGAAGAAACAAATACACCAATGGTTGATCATTATTTTCTGTCGTGTTATCATAGTAGATGGAATTATTAAAAATTATTAATAACTGTTGATCTGCGAAATATTTAATTCGTGTGCAATTTAGTTCCTACTACTTGTTTAATAGTCAGTTCAGATGAAAAGTTTTAATTACTGCAGCTACTACTGTTTCATTTCACCGAAACAATGTTAAGCAAAGTTAACAAACAAATTGTTTACTACATATTTTAAATTTGAGAGTGATAACTATAAACGAAATTAATTTTAAAGTACTTATACAAAAATAGGTTAGCCGTATTATCTAATGTTTTGTCCTAAGATAAATAAGGGTAGATTGTATTTTTATAATAGTTACCACTGGTTAATGGAAAAGTAATATATGACTAGAGTAAAATATGGAAATCAAGTAACGGATGAAAGGAAAAATAAATAAATTCCAAAGTTTTTAAAGTTTAACCTATTTATTTTATTCTTAAGTTCTGGATAGTAGTGTAATCTTTGATTACCACTCTATTCTAGTTGGGACACTTCAGCTGGATTAATCCCTATGTTATTTTTGATCTCTTAAAAACGAAATCAGAATTCCCTACCTAACTCTTCAAATGTTAATATTCTATTGACAAAGCTGTGGATTTATCTGTTTAACAGGTTAGAGTTTGAAAATATAAGCAATGGGTTTGAGGCTCAGTCATATATTCACCTGAAATTTCCAAAATCGAACAAAAGGGGCACTCTAGTTCTCACTAGTTATCCTTCAAAAGTTTAATAAGCTTGTAAGCATAAACAGTATAGAGGTCTCCGCTCAAGAGGCTTATATATCAATAGAAAACTGGTCAGATTCATTAGTAATATCAGTACCAGGAAAACGGAAGTTCTTATTGCTACTACTAATACTACTACTACTACTACTACTACTACTACTACTACTACTACTACTACTACTACTACTACTACTACTACTACTACTACTACTACTACTACTACTACTACTACTACTACGTTAATAATAATAATGTTGTGAACTTTTTTATTGTAAACCGTTGTAAGTGAACTCTATTTTCCAATGGATTCTTTTTGAGACAGAAAAGAGATAAAATAGGCAACCGTCTGTTTATGGCTTTTACAATTTTCATTGTTATTTGTTTACATTTGTAATATAATAACTTCTTGGATGCTAAATTCAATATAATCCAACCGCATATTTATTTTTTTTAGAATTACTTTCAATCAACAGATACGGTATATGTATAAAAATGAAAACAAGTCTTGTTTTCATCAACGTCGAAATTTGAACCATTGAAATTTGATGCCATAACACAAATAAATTGTTTTTTTTAAAGCGTTTGTTTGCTTTTTGATAAAAGAAAATTGAATTTTTTTCGAGCTTTCGTTAACTCGTAAAATTACGAATTATTTGGTAGTAAAATCCGATTGGTTGTTAATCCAATGATTGGTATACATAAAATTTAATTTAAACATGGGATCCTTTAGATAAACCATTTACTGTTAGTTAATATTGAAGCACAATTAATTGCAACTTACTTTGTTGTGTTATCTGCCAAATACCAACGTCTGGATTACAAGGTGGTGAACAGTTTGGACGAAGAAATTTATCGATTGCATTTGAAAGTTTCCATCTGTAATCTAATGAATTCGACGGTTTAACTGACCATATTTCAGTTGGTTGATTAGTTGACGTTTGAATCGGTGGTAAGATACGTAGACGAACACGATGATTTGGTTGAAACGATTTATCTTTTCTCATAATTTCAAACCAGTCTTGTACTTCCACTGTTAAGCCAATTGTAATAGGAGTTTTTTGATCAACAGAATGGATGTAAAGTCTGAGGTTACAAAAAAATATGAAATACAATAACACAAATCAAGTAATAAGTTTATCATGTGAAGTCTTTTATGATCTACATTCATTTTAGCATTTCTTTAGTGTTAATCTTCGAAAACGTTTCTGAAGTATTTCCCTGTTTCTGTGACCATAATGCACAAGAAACATTTTAACGCCATACATAATAATATCATTATTATATTTCTTCGCATTTTTTAAGATGAGATTGAATAATTCAGTTATACAGACTTATTGATCTGTAATTATTTAAGCTTTTTACGTTTCCTTAAACTGGATTTTTTTTTATAACTCATCAGACAGTTTTGGATTGCGAAACACAACGAACATTGGTAGGCTGTACTTTAATTTGTCGACAAATCCGAAACAGGGAATCAGGCAAACAAAAAAGCTTGGAAGCATTTCAAACTAGTCAAAAAAATTCATTCATTATCAGTATTTGCTAATAAATAAACAAACTTACATTGTGCAACGATAAATTGAAATATTGTAATGTATGTAAAATAAAACTTAAAAACCGTTAATAATTATATCTAGAACGCAAGAAATGTTCGTAAATATTTGCTTTGAGCAAATAAAAACTGCGAAATGTCAACTACACTAAGCAAACTGATATATTTTTTCATACAAAGATTTAAAAAATATATTTCCTGTCAGTTGGAAGTGTTGTAAGATCAGTAATGCTTTCTCCTGATGAGAATTAAACTCTGGCAAATATAGGGGTTCTTACCAGTTTTTTATGACTCCTATATGTACATTTGTTCTCAAAATCAAGCAGTCATAGTTCAGGCGAAATAAAGATTTTGTTATCACTCTAGACATCTTGTCCTTTCTACGGTTGATATCACAAACTGGACTTAGTTAAACAACTAATAACAACAAAAAGGCAGTGGTAGAGAAGGTGTACACTGCTGAGGAGTCTCATATTAGGACGAAACAGCTTATCAATGTTTCCTGACTTTGAAGATTTATTCAATGAAAATTAATTGTTGATAACTGTGGAAGACCTTTTTTTAGTTGAAATTGTCTGATGATTTTTTCATGTTCACAACTACCTTGTAAACTGATAATCAATCTTTTTACGTATTTTTTTTATAGGCACAATAATAGTGATAATATTGCTTTGATGAGTCAATTTCAAATTTATATTAGTTGCCTTAGAAAATGTTAAACTCTCCATACTATTAAACTTTTGATAAAAAAAGTATCTTTTTTTATTCAAAATCAATGACCCGAAGAAGAAATACATGTTTAATTATTCTAGTTATAAAGGAAATGATAGGAAAAAAACATCTCTTGTTGTCTAGAAATAATTCGATCGGAAAAAAAATGTTTAAAAGTGGCAGTTAAGATCAACAACAAACTATGATCATCATTAGTGAATGTCAAGAAAAGAAAAATACTTGAAATTTTACAACAAATTTAATTGTCACTGTTTAGCGTAGATTATTATTCTAAACGAACAGTCATTATTTAATGGATGCATAATTCGATTCCAAACTAATCAGATGAACAATTTTAATTATAAAATCTATCTAAATTTAAAGAATGAAAAAAGGGCGGTTTGAAAGCTGTACGTTAAAAACAAGTAGTTCCTTTTGTGTGAAGATTCCGTTGAGGTGAAAGTAGAGTTTTATATAAGTTCCAAATACATTATGACCCCAATCGAACGTTGACAAGGAAATGGTATCATGTAAACATCTTTTTGTTTAGTGAAATAGATTGTAAATAGTTTACTAGATTAACAATGGAATACTTAATGTGTAATAATGATTCACATGTAAGCGATTTATCTACACTTCTTGAAAAATTTTCTACTGATAGATTAAACTACCTAAGAAGAAGAACTTGCGAATATCTTCGAATTTCTGTTTAACCATGTGATTTTCCTATTTTTGTAACTCTTCTTAACGGGAATTGAATAGTGCTCTGAGTAAAAATGAGATATTCTGATATTTTGTGGCCTAGTTTAAAGCATTTCTTTAGAAAGTCAATGAATAACCGAACTAAATTAACACAAATCTATGGCAACAATAACAAGTTCAGTCAAAATCTTAATCAAAGTATGTTTAATGATGTTAAAGTGGAGATTCGACTGCGAGTGTATCTCAATGATATGAGAATTGAATAGAAATAAATGATTCAAGCTAGATAAACAGTTAGACTTTCCCTTATAACGAGCCCAGAGGGAACTAGCATGATATGAATCAACATATCTACTCATCTTAATTGATTTCATTCTTTGAATATCAGTTTAATGGTTGTTGAAAATAGCATGTGGTGCTGTTGCCGATTCGACTACTCCTTCACATGATAAATTCCACATTTTCCATATTCAGTAACATACACTCAAACATATGTGGTGATCTCACACCGAATCAACTTGACCAAAATTAACATTGACATAATCAAACATGTTTTGATCTAAAATTTGACTGATCTTGTTATTCTGTCATGTTCTTCTATACTAATTAGATTTATGTTAATTTAGTTTGGTTTGGTTCATTGATTTTCTGAAGAAATGCTTTAAATTAAGTCACGAAATATCAGAAAACTTCAGTTTTACTCATGGAGTTATCTCTAATACAGCATTTGTTTTATTATTAACGATCTATCAAATGTTCAATTTATGTAAACCTGTTCAGTTAGACCTTGAAAATGATACTCATAATTGCTCAAAAAAACATTTGGAAATATTTTGTTTTAAGTTTATAGACGTTTTACTATCCATGTTTAATCTCGGTCTTTTCTTTACCGGGTTTCTAGTTTACTGCACTATCTTTACACTGTTTCTAATCATATTTCCTTTGAGTGTTAAAAGGTACTACAATCAGGTTTAAATCTAGCTGCAACAGTTTTACTGTAAAGTTTGCAATTTATTGTATTAGTTTCAAGCCAAGTAATTATTATAGTATAGTAATCCAGGCATGCAATTTTTGTTGATTTCAGTAATTATTTCAGTTCGTTCAGAGTTTTTCTAAAGTTTATGATTAATATATGTAATAAATCATCTACCAAGCATAAATTATTATTTTTAATAAGAATCAAATATCCGTAGAAAATATATTCCAATATTTCTATGACGACAATACAGTTAAAAGTTAAATCTAGTCGGCAGAGAGTTTTAAAAGGGTGAAATGTATTGAAAATTGACAGAATGGTATATTCAAGTATATGAAGGAAGCGAATATTTTTTTTCAAAGTTTAATAATAACTTAATCAAAGTACTAGTGCTAGTGAGTCCCGTACTAGGACGAAACAGCTGACTAGTGCTTCCAGCTTTCTAATGGTGGTCTAACACTGTTAGATTTATCATTTCAATAAAACTTAACAATCTTCACAATCCTGTAATCAACGTACAAACACCGAAGCTTCCAATTATTTTTCAAATAATCTATTTTTTGCTTTTAACATATGTAACAGTAAAATGTAATTCGTAATAAAATATAAAGTTGAATATGTCAAAACTAAATATTCTATGTTAAAATTTACGAGTATTGACAAGTGTATTTTATTATATACCGAAAAACATTGAAAATTTTCATTATATTTATCTGAAACTTCATTTATTTAGAACAAGTATATCTTTTAAGCTTTAATAGCATAGTTTCATATGAATTTTACCAAAATATAGATATTTGACAGTTTAAAAAATAAAGCAGCATTGACGGTTGTTTATAAATAAAAATCAATTACTGTCAGTAGCGAACATTTTTGATTTACATTGATTTTCTCCAGTTAGATGGAATACTTACAGAGAGAGTATAAAATAGTACTGGCCTGTCTGTATTAGATTTGATGAGTTTTATAATACCGTTCATTTTAAATCTTGTAAAAGTTTGCACATTGAATAATGAAATACATAAATAGATATAGTGTATTTGTTTAAATCATCCACTTGCATGATCCGAAGTAATATTACCATAGCAACGTCTGAGAAAGTGTTTGTAGCCATGTGAAAATGAACTGTCTTATTTGACAAGCTTTGTCAAAAGAAAGTCAATTCTGAAAGTTCATTCAAAATATTCTTTTTAATAAAATTAGATAACATGGTTCTAACTATAGCTGTTTACTTTTCGACATGGTGATGAAGAACTAAGTATAAATGAGTTCTGAATGTCAGATTAGACCATTCAAGGTTCTAGTTTACATCAGTACTTTAATAGCTCAGTCATATGGGTGAACACACTTGTCCAGAAAGGTTATGGACCTTAAGTTGATAAATGTTTAAAAATCATATGTTTTAAACGTAGATGTGTACATACATATCTTTTCATTTTTGATTGATAGAAATATAAACTTAATGGTATTTAAAGCGTAATCAGATTTTTTGTCAACTTGTTTATTCACTGAATTGACTTTTCAGACTATGGGATATTTTTATATAATATTCTATTCAAACTCCCTTGAGATTACAATCTTATTCTTATAAAAATTTATCAAAACTGTTTAATACTATTAGTGGTTTGTCAGCTGAACATTTTTAACTTCTGAAATTTCATTACTGAATAATTTAAATTCCCATTTCCAGTTATTAAGGAAGTTTTAAAATGGATATTTTTTATCTTTTATTAAACAGATATACAAATAAAGTTGGACATATTGAAAGGCAGCATCAATTACATAAGATAGTTTGATGAGTTTAGTGATATAGCTGGTCGCAAAAGTTCTTACTAATTTGTAATCAATAGAAACATAGTTATTTAATCAATAAAAAAATTCCAAAATTTATTTGTAGTTGGTCTCTGTAGAGAAGAAAATTTTAAAAAGTTTTCAGATGAAACATTATTGAACGCTTAATTCATGACTAATAGCTCTTTGTTAAAAGGTCATTTACACCAGGAATGTAGATTTATAACTTTACAGATATGAAACTTTTAGAAATTAAAATTAATTGAATATCTCCTACTAAAAATAACCTAATTCAGTTCCTGTAAACTTAGATTACTAAACTGTCGTTATACAATTTTAGCTTAAATTCAAGAAATGGTTTACTAAAAAACGAATTAAATTAATTTAAACGTGGTGTATTATACCACATATATCTAAGCACTGATATAAACCTTAACGGCTACTTTAAAACAATGAACCAGCGTCCAGGCAGGCTACTTCGATCCGACTGTCCCAATTGTATCAGCAATAAGTCTTGATATAGCGTGGAAAGTGTATTCTAAGAACACCCTAAAAGCACAAAATGAATCCAAGCACTCAAATCGCGTTTATTTATACTCTATAGAGACGTCCATGGGACAGTCACAAAAATAGCACACTAAACTGACACAGTAGCCAATCACAGCCAAGGATTTTCCTGGTGAGAAATTGATATCAAGGTCAACTGATCGGTTCATGAAATAAACCCAAAATAAAGATATTTATCAAGCGAGATCTGAGGATCTAACATAAGTGTTTGTTATAATTTAAAATAATTATTCTTGTGCAAAAATGGAGTTTACGTATATTTTTTAATTCGAAACTATAAGCCAAACGTTGAAAACTAATCACCAAACACTGCAGTCAAGAGCTCGATATTTTTGATCGCATCTAGATAGTAGATTTTCTGTATCCGTTGAATACATACCATACTACGGAATGCTTGTAATGTGAATGGAAAGCAGTGAAAGCAACTAAAATATTCTTTAATTCAAGAAAAAAACCATAGTTTGGTATAGAGATTATTCTCTCGCCTTATAAATACGTTTGTAGAGAGACAGTTGTTGAATTAGTTTTTTTTCAAGAATTGGCACGGTAGCGTTCTGTGCGTCATCATGTCTATTAAAAAAAACCAGCGCATATCAATTTTTTTTCTCGAAATATTTCTTCTCCATCATTTTTTGAAGAATAAATTGTCCCAATATTCTCCGCATGAGATTCATTATTAAGTGTGTTTTTTAACTAATAAAACACTGTCATTAATGTTGTCAGTGAAATAATCATAGATAATAAATAACAACACAGACCATCGTTTCTTAGGAAAAATCTTAACTTCAAAAAAACAAACAAACAAACACTGTTTCTAGATGATAATGAAAGAAAATGATTACAGTTAAACAGTTTGTCAAATTCATTTTCAGGGCATTGAGTTCTATTGTTTGAAACTTTTATTTTGTTCATCCAGACAATATTAGCGAATACTATGAGGTAATCAATCCATCACAGTGACATTTTAATTTCGAAATAAAAATGACCGAATGATGACATAAAATGTCAATTTGTCGATTTATGATTTCTAGATGGATGAATTCAGTTGTGATGAATTATTGTGATTTTTTCTTGCGTTTTATAGTAAATTTGCGAAACTAGAAATGTGTCCTGTTGTAGGCTTTCAATTTTTTCAAACTAAAAATTAAGCTGAAATCACATTCTTACTATGATAAATTAAAAATACAAAATATTTGTTTTAATGAGATGAAGTAGTCATTTGACTTTTGATGTGAGCATTTTACAACATGACTGGTTATTCTGAAACTCAGGAATTTCAAAGAACTTTTTGATAAAATTACGTTCAATCTCTGTGAGTTAAAGAGTGAATTGTATTGAAAGCGTTAGTCAAACTCATTTACAATTATCTAACATTTAATGAAATTATCAGCAAAGATTTTTGTCAATAAGATTTTAGGAATAAAATGCTATTCAGTTTAAAAAATATCAATACTTCATTTCAAATGATTGAAGGTAGTTGAATATTACTTCGAAAATAAATTAGTTTGCCCAAGCGTTGATTTCAATGTTGTGAATTAGTGAATTTTCTAATAAATTTTGATTGAACACATTTCACTTGTGTTTCAAATGATACATTTGAATTGTGTTAATAAAGTCTGATTTAATTTAGACGAAACTTATCAGTTACTTAAATTCTTACAAACGTAAAAAAAACTATAACATGGATTTATTCAAGCTGAAAAATTATCATTACTGTTATTTTTTTCTTCAGTATTAATCAGATTCAATGAAAGCAGAGTGTACACACGTTTTAAAAAAAATTGAATTTTATTCTTAATGTAATAACAATATTATATTTGTAATTCCTCTTATTATGAATTACTTGAATGAAACTGTAATAATTAATAGATTATATTTCGAGAAAATAGATCTGCTTGCAAAGTAAAAATGTTTTTTTTGTCGAATGTGCATATACTTGACTGACCATCTCCATTGACTGCCTTTATTCAACTAAAATCAAAAACAAATGTATGGCAGTATTGAATCGTAATAAGTTAATGCTAAAGACTGCAGTACATGATATTGATTAATATTCAGTGATAGGGAAGAAAATAGATTCTTCTCTTCTTTTTATAAAAATGTCTGCTTTGCAAAAGCCATATCATTTTTAGCTCCAATGAATTAATTCATAAAGTGTAAAGTACACCTCTGTACACTGAAGAATACTTGAAATACACCTAAATTTATTTGAAAAATTTGAATGAAGAACTTTCGAACAAATCATTATTTGTTTATTTCTTATAGCTCAACAAATAAGTACCTGATTATTACCTTAAAAAACCACAATTTAAATAAGTATTTGTAATGTTTTGAAAAGTTAACCAAAAATTTAATCCATAAAGGGATGTTAGAGTTAGTCAAACTTTTATAGTCAAAAACGTAACACTTTTATCCCTCACGTTTATTCTAATGATAATTTTGATAATTTATTATATTAAGAAAGTCAGATAGTGGCTAGTTGTGTTCCGTCCAACTCAGGACTCGTTATTCTTCAATCTTATCAATACTAGGATGTCGAAACCTATAACTGAAAAGTCTCAAATACAACGAAACTCATATCTTTGACCAGTGTCTAACTTCACTGAAGCATGTGATATCCAAGCAATCACCTTAGGATACACGTATAATTAAAGAGACTGATAGATTGCATTATTAATATCAATAACTTAAAGATCAAAACCCTTTTAAATATTCATTATGTCATTAAACAGACAAAATACTAATAAATTTCCTATGGAATATAGTTTGAAAATTCATATTTCTAATACACTTGAAAACATTTTACAAAATATTCATTGATTCTAACAACTGGCAGAGTGATTTTTATTAAAGTATTTATTAACAGCTTAAAGGTCAATCATGCGTCTTTAGTTAACGCTTGAAACATGTTTACTGAAATCAGAATTTTTAAAAAATACACTTTTAACCTTATAAAATAAAATTTTACTATATGGATAAATTGTTTGCCATTAATGAAAAATTTTTTCAACTTCATTTTAAATTGGTTTAAATAACTTTTGATGTACACTAAATTACGTCATATTACTGATTCGGCTGAAAAATGGATGATCACCGAATAAGGTTAGTGTTATACACTCACTACTGAATTAAACACAGATTATTTGCGGTAGACAATTTGCTCAGCTTTAAATCATTTAGTTTAGGATTTAGCAACAATAAAAAATTGGTACAATGTAGTAATGCTGATTAATAATACCAAATGAATAAGTGCAGATTCAGCGTGCTATTGGGATCCGTAAATGTCGTTTCATTTAGTTAATGTAAATTTGAGTCAAATATTAATACAAAGATTTGAATGATATATTTAAAATGCTATGTCTTATTCTTGTCATATGATTACTGGGGACCATAAACGGTGTAAAATCATAAAGTGATTTGGTGGAGATCCTTGCACAATTCGAATGAGATATCCATCTTTTACTGACATCAACTCAATAAATACTAAAAACCAAGAACATTTATTTTCTCCTAACTAAGGATTCCTTTATAACGAGCACTTATCAGTCTGCCTGAATTTGGATCAAATATTTATGAGTGCTAAACTGATTGAATGTGACCTTGACTCATTCAGTTGGGGATATTTCAATCGTTATGTAACATGAAGGTCTTGGATTTTACATGGTTGCAGGTGTATTTTGTTATGGATGTTCTAAGACATTTTAAAATAACCGTTTGATGTTACTTGTTTTTAATGGCTTTTCAGCCAGTACCACGTTTTCCAAAAATTACATTCACAAAGTACATTAAAGTGTTTGAATAGATAAAACTCAACTTACCTAAATAAATATGGTTGTTTTCGTATATGTTCATTAAGAGGTAAACCGATTAAATGTGAATTGTCCGATGTTAAACTCATCCAACTTGAATCATCAAGAATGAGTCCATCTATTTTAAAATTAATGAAAGTGAAGAATTATTTTTTCGTTGAGTCGAACAATCTAATTTTACTAACTTAAAAGTAAATACACGTTGATTCACTAGGAAATAGTGATTTCTTATTCATACACATAAGATATGGTCGTTTTACTATGGTATAACTTTTTCCCAAATGTTTTAAGAGCATTACGAGTAAAGTAAATCGATATTTTGATGATTATTTTGAAGAGTAAACAAACTCAACAAAAACGTTTTATTTCGTACTACTAATCTATAATTGTCTTTGTTAATATCTAAGTAAATTTAATTTGACCAAACTATACAATTGAATTGAATAACATAAACGGTAGAAGGTCTCTTAAAGTTATGTAAAGAACAGCTGTTTAGCGCGTTGGAAACTTAATGTTTCTACTATCAGTTTTGATTGTCAAATTATGTTTAACTCAAGACTGTAATTAACTGTTATTGACTGTTTATGTTACAAAACGTAGGTACATCTTAAATGCTCAATAACACGTCTTTGTTTTATCCTATTTTTCTCTACCAGATTCACGCAAACACGGTGCTTTGCTCATCGCCCATAGAATACCATAAACCTCTATACTAGTCACTAATCCATCAATCGCTGAGAGTTAGACAAGAAAAATCCATTTTAATGATTGATATATAACTAAATCAAACACCAGAAAAATGGAATTGTTCAAACATTTAAAAAGGCATTTCAAGAAAAGCATATTTGGGATTAATAACTGAAAATACTATGATACTTTTAAAAATAAGTTGACCTTCAGTTAATAATCAAAACATTTAATCGCCTGAAATTAACATAAATGACACTTTGATTTACAAAAAGCTGAAGATTCAAAAGTAAGTTGGATCTAAACTAAAATGAAGTTTATGATTCTAGATAAAATAGAGAAAGGTGATAGATCAATATTTTAGCTAATTTGTGCATCATGAATATGTTGTTTATTCGTGTTTACTACATGACAATTTGCATGATTCATTTTCCACTAAAATTACAATCCCTATGATTCGCTATTTCTTATATGATTGATTTTTGCATAATAACAAAATAGGAAACAACTTCAGTCAGTGAATCTATGAAAATTCAGGAAACACTGTACAGATGTTTTTTAGTCTTAATCTGGAACTCCTTAGCAGTGCATCTGTACGACGCTACTAGGAATTGAACCGTGAACCAATCTCACAGAGTGCAAAAACCAGAAGTAAACCGTTTCCTTTAGATGCTTTCAGTAGTTTTCAAAATTTCCAAAACCAGTCAGTAATGGCAGTCCTGAATTTCTTTTAATAACAGATTAATAATGGTAACGGGATTGTTCATATTTGCAATAAGTGGAAAACTATGAATTACGATTTCTAGAACTATTTATAAATCATAATAAACATGACAATCGAAGCAACTGGTTTTCGGGATTTTGGTTTGTATGGATAATTATTCAATTTCTTAAACTGAGATCAAATTTTAAATAAACAAATCATCACCAACCACTCAAAACCATGATTACAAGTACCAGTCACATGTTTCATAGAGTTTGTTTCATTATTCATCCTTTAATATGAATATTAATTTAAACAAGCAAGATATGTGGTTTTGACAGATGGCTAATCATTAAGCAGTTGCTAATATCATGTCATATATTTCTTCGTAATGCTGATTGAGTTGAATCTATCAAGCAATGATATGGTTAGTGGTTTAAGTGACTTAGCATTACATGGATTATTTTGAGATGCAAGTAGTCGCAATGTAACCTCAGATCTTATCATTCCAAACAGCTCAGTATTTACGTCTAAAACTACGTAGATGGGTGAAGCAGTTTTGAACTCAGTTCTACCAAGATCGCGAGTTACCTCAGCTAATGAAAACTGGCATAAAATCTAGGCCAAGAGTTACTTGTCAAATACTTGTAAGCACCTAACAGTTATAGTTCTTGGTAAAATGAAAGTGACTTTATTTCCGAACAATGAGTCTCACTGACAGCTACTGCAATGATTTTAAATAGATACCCTTGAACAGACAGTATGCTATACTGGTAAAAAGGGAGAGAACGGTCTAAAATGGTATCTTATTATATCTATCTTTCTATATATATCTTTCATCTGTCATTATTTTTATTCCCTTAGTCGAAATATTTTCCACATCGTATTTCAACTCATATTTCATAATAAACAGAAGATTCCCAATATACTTTTTTATATGTAACGTATTTGCAATCCACCAAAATTTTTATTTATGTTTGAATATCCAAACAATTAATAAGCTTGTCAAAGTACTAGCAGTAATAATAATAATAATAAAACCTACTGGGTGATAATTGAAATAATTTTAAACTTTCTTGTTTTGTGTCATTTAAAATTTGAAATTTATTTGTAAAATTTGATAAAGTTTAAAATAATATATAATTTTTTTAGAGTAAAAATGAATGATTTCATTTAAACTATAAATGAAATTATTATAATAAATAGAATTAAATAGGTTGCTTAAGGTGATTTATATTCATTTCACTGTGTCCATGCTTCATTACGAATGTAACTTTCAATGAAGGAAATCTTCAGCCAGTAGGGTCTTACAAACTATCAATGTCATTAAATAATTATGTCCTAGCAGTGAATGAAGTGGCGTTCGGTTGCCTTAAAATGAGATATAAAAAGACTGCCGAGAAAGGTTCAAATTAGTTTTATTAAATATCTTCAAAATTAGGGAGTATTAGTTTGTTTAAAATTGTTTGTTTTTTATGGTCTTTTGATAAATTGAAATCGCTGTTTTTTAGCGCCAAAATTCCTCACACCCTTATTTATTTCGGTTAAACTTATTATTAGTATTATTCTACTGACTTTTTGCTCTGATTTATAATAATCACTTTGACTCTACCCCGTGCGACATTCTGAATATGTTTATTCATTGTTGCAGCTTGTCTAATACACCTTAGTAAGATGTTTCGTACACTAGAAAGAGAAAGATTTTTGTCCGTATGGTATAGTTCATCAAAGTTTAGTGTAACGCTCACTATATCACACTGCTAGTGCATGTTTCTCGCCGAGCCCTTTAACCCACACTTTCTCCCCTTCAACTTTCTACATGCAACTATATCATTTCATTCTAGACAAATATTATGTTATTCTGTGTTACATTGACAAACACATTAAAAATTCACAGTAAAAGCTCTTTCCTTGACTTACATGCATCTCTTAATTCCATAAACTGAATTCTTTTAGATGGAGTAACATTTTCAGGATTGATAGATTTTTTGAATCGTAACCCTGGGTATAATGAAATAAATCATACAACATAAAATAGTTAGTTGAATTAAATACCATCACAAAGGAAAATAACACAAACACTACACACAATACAAATAAATGTCTATTCATATTTTTTTTATGTATGGAAATATTAATGTATGTATAAATTATTAATTTTTACTTTTGACTTAAGATTCCATAGATTTATTTATACTGGCTTTACAAGTTCTTATAATGTTCACCAAATTACTATTACTATTATTATTGTTACTATTAATTATAATTTTTTTAATCTCAATTCTCTTTCGTATTATCCTACTTCTGACCATGAATAATTAACCAGTTGTATAAACGTTAATTTAGAGAAAATGCAAATTAGATCGCTTGAAAAGAAAAAAAACACACAAGATATTGTGCTGTGTATTTAATATATAATGTTAGTTAATGCAATATTCAAGTTATTCGTAGTGGAAGAATAAGAATAACAAAACAGATAAGAAAAAATACTGAATAATAAAATTAGAAAGACAATATCACTAATAAATAATGATTACAATTTGAATTGTTTACTAGTAGTCAATATTTTGACTATTTTGGTCATGAACATTTGAATAACATTTGGTTACTGCTGATTATGGAATGAAGCTTGCTGACAAATGATTCAGAATGTTGCATCAGAATGAAACAAATACTTGAAAAATTATTTTCAACGTTAGACTGTCTTGTATATTCCCAACCATATATTTTATCGAACAAATGGGCACACCATTGTGTTACATAAAGTGACCAATTGCAGTTGGGTCAGCAAATTTGATTTCTGTGACCACTCACTACTTGGCTACAATAATCGAGATAAGTGATTGACCTTAATCTACACAATTTATACAGTTTTTCTACATAACATGCACCGAACTTCAGCACTGTTCATTAAATGGTTTTATCGACATTATGTGCATCAGAGCACATATAGTATACGCGATATGATTATTTCTCAACAGTAAATATTAGAACAGAATGGATTACGGTATAACAGTAGGAAATTCAACTAGTGTCTTGAATAATGCCATTTCGCAAACAGAAAGATAGACGCCAATATCCCTGCTGATATCCTGTAGTCGACTAGTCTGTCAATGGTAGAGCAAATTTATCAATTGTTAGGTGGACAAATAATCATTAATTTTGCAATGATTGAAATGAGGCATTATGTAACATTTAAAGCATATCAAGTATATGATAAATCTTTGGTTACAATATTTTGAATACCTCTCATTTTATTAACCTATTTGTTAAATAATTCCGTATCGTTTGAATACAGCTGATCAATAATCGGTAAACAGTAGCTGTACAAAGTTATCACAGTGCACAAAGACGAAAGTATCAAATAACATCAAGCACCCTTAGTAAAAACACATGTTATTTCATATCATCCGTCATTAAGTCATTAGGAAGAATGAATGAGTACCAGTGTAGAGCCTTTAGTAACACAATATATTCTAAAAAATTATATTTGATATACTGATTTATCATAGCTACCAGTTAACTTATTTTTGCCAACTGATATGGTCAGTAAGAGAGACGATAGAAAAATAGTCTAGATAACTTGAAATGTTATGCTTTCAATATCCTAATATATGGTATATACCAACCCAGTATTCTTGTTAGGGAGATGCCTAATTTTTTGGTCAGTTTTTAAGTGAACCATTACGTACAAACGACAATCTCCACAAAAGATTTATATGTTTAGCAATCAACAGTTATTTTCTCAGTGTCGTTACAAATTTAATGGATCAATCATTTTGAATCTCATTTAAGTGAGACTATTTATCATGTGAACTGTTCACAATAATAAATTTCAGCTTAGTATAGCACGCATACTTTCAACATTAATTTCGTAATTCGTCCATGACAAAATACTTTAAAACTATTTACTAATGAATTCCACACTTGAATAAATGTTGACGGGAAATTAAAAAAAAACACACCTAGAAAGAACTACTCATCCCTATGCGTGACCATAGAATTATTGCATAAAATGATATTTACTGTATAGCAAAAAACATTATTTAATTTCGGGAAATTTCCAATTTGAAAAGTGAAAAAAAGGGGAACAATTTGATTTTTATCGAGAGCAGAAGCGGGAATTCATTGATTCCAACTTTTTTTTTATTATTTCCAGAAGAAACATCTTCCATTGTTTGTGTATGGTTGCCTTCAAAAAAAGTGTTATTATTATTGTTGTTATTTTATTATCGATAAATGTGTAAAGCTTATTTCCTGAGGGAATTTTCAATAAGGTTTTTTTAAATTTTGTTTTGTATTTTAGTGAATCAATCAGTTTCGTACCACTACAACCTTTACAATGAAAGAAACTAGGAAACGGATATTACTATTAGTGTGGTCGGTTATTTATTCTGTTTATTTATGACTTTAAACAGAAGACAGGAAATAGTCTCAGAGAAATATTATCTGACCGATCATAAATTATTATTATTATTATTTGACAAAGAATAAATCAGTCTAGTTGTTTAGTGTGAGCAATAAAGAATGAATTGATTTCTACAGTTTCATAGACCTAGTTTATATCAAGTCCTTCTTTGATTTTTTTTCTTCGTACAAAATGTATAAATAGTGTTAATGTACGATCAGATCCTGTGCATTTATTGTTTTTAGTGTTGATATTTTTAAAAAATGATATTTATTTATTCCTTTACTTGACTTTTGTCTACATATTTGTCGATTGAATTGTCCAAGTTATTGCTTCGTTTTTTTGTTAAGTTTTAATTTCATGCTGACTATCATTACGATAGTGATACATCTATCTAAAAAAATTTTTTAATTAATAACGGATGAAAGAGATATTGGTATAATTTTTTATAGTGTCAGTGAACTGTTATATTATTACTGAATGTACTACATAAGATGATGCTTTGTAACGAATGCATGCAGTAATTATTATTTAATATTAAGAGTAACATACATGTTGTATTAGTTAAAATGAGCTCTCATAAATACTGTTAGGTTAGTTCGATCACGTAAATAGAGAAAATGATGTAAACTTTATATAATAAACAAACGTCATTTTATTTAGTGAATAAATCATACTTTTTGTGATTGTACTGTCTGTATAATGTGCTTTTAAAGATATTACATCAAGTATGGTGGATGATAGTTCTTCTGCCTCACTGTCATTGTACATGGTAATGGTGGTGTTTCGTTCTGTGAGCTCAATGTTTTGCTTGTGAAACTTTCAATGTTCTTCTGAACAACAACGTCAGCACAAACTTCAGATGGAAGTGAAGTATTCGAATTTCTGCACCATCTCAAATGTATATGATAATTTTAAAATGATTAGTGAATTTTAGTATTTATTAAAAGCATTTTTTTATTTGTAGAGTTGGTGGAAGTTTATTCATTTCACAAATACACTTCACTGAGAACTGACTTCCATTTCAGAACTACTAACTAGCAGATAAAAGTGAATGGCTAATTAAATCCAGTCTGAGCCTCTAACGTCTGACGAGACAAGAACTAGAAGCTGTTTACGCTATAATATTCTATTTATTGATTTTTTTTAAAAGTATAAAACGTTTTCACTATAGACTTGTAAAGATTGTTGAGTTTTGTTGAAGTCATGTATTGATCCCTGTCAGACCACCATTAGAAACCTGGAAGTAATGGACGGCCGTTTTGTTGAGGATGCATAACGCTGATCAGTCACACACTAGGACGAAATCATCATCCAGTGCTTCCAGGTATATAAACAATGATAAAATGATTTAAACTTAAAAGACTGACATGTTATGTAAACGTTTTAACATCTTAAAAATATTTAATTTGCATAAGTATCGGATGAGATTTACCGCATATTATATGTTATTTGTGTCAAGTTCACGTTTTTTTAATGAGAGTTACAGGTTATTAAACATTCATAGGTAAGCGTATAATATATACTTTTTTATTGGATAAAAACATTTAAAAATATTTTATGTACTCATGTATTGTAACCAGGGTTTGACTGAATAATTTTAAATAAATTAAGCATTTGATAAATAGTTAACAGTAATGATAATAAATTTGAAATATCGCAATAGGTAGAAATTAAAGTAAAAAAAAACATCCGAAATTCAATTTTCTCCTCAATAGAATATCCTGAATTTTTGTGATTATTTTTTTACTATATTTTTTTGTAATTAGTTTAAAACTGATGCAAAAAAACCTATCATAGGCTTTTTCATGGCGGTTTGTTCCGATAATATCCCTTTGTAATATAACTTTATATATATATATATATATATATATATATATATATATATATTCTAATTTCAGTAGGAAATAGCTTAATATGAATATTTTTCAAACTTTGTTTAGTCAGTAAATTAAGTGAAATTCCTAACTCTAATTTATAATCAAACAACTGTTTTATTTTGATATTAACTGAGACTACTATAAAACAGGAAATCTGATGGATAAAGCTTACAGATTTTAGTCATTAGTCACTAATAAGTAGGATAATTCATAATACTAGAATAGAATCATTGCATAATGCCTCGGTTTACAATGAATGAAGGAATACCAGAGAAATAGTCAAATGATGTATGTAGGAGCTTCTGATCTGTTATTTAGATAAATTTTCCACTGAATACAAGCGAAGATGAGCAAAACCAATGGTTAGTACCTCCTTCTTTATCTGAATATGTATGCCTCATGTCAGAGTCACTGTTCCTTACTTGGTGTACCGGCACCAACTTTGATAGGTGAAGTATAGGTAGTAATAGTAATCGGTCACTGTATGTCGGTATAAGTTAGAAAAAAATCCGATCTGAACTTTGATTTGGTTAAATTGATGAGCAATATCTGATGAATTTCAGGGATGATCAAAATGAAGATATATCAGTGGGAGCAAGCTTCCACTGTAAGGTTCGAATTCTATCCATGTCTGGTTGTCGATAAGTGAAAGAAAATATAAACTCAAGGATTTAACTGACTTCAGGAAAAAACAACGCTTTACAACATAGAGACGGAATATATCTTCGTCGATATGTTGAACTTCAAACTTTAAACGATACTGGAAGTTTGCCAGCATTAGAATACTAACTAAATATGTGCTGACTCATGGAAGATAAGGTAGGGCTGTAATTATTAATTATTGTTATACGGCCCGATCTGTTTTAATACCAAAGTTATGTCGAAACCGGTCACAGCGCATATTGACGGCTAACAACTCTTGACACTTAAGACTAGTTCCTCTTGAAGGTAGCTATCTGCGACATCTAGCTTCTTAATAAAACAGCCTCCATTATCGGGATCTGATAGGTTGATTGACGCGGCAATAGTTGCATTTTTAGTCAATAGATTCACACTGACGGTAATAGTCCTATTTACAAGGGTAAATTTTAGTGAAGTATGAGTATGACTGGTTCCTTTTTAGGCATAATGACGGTCTTGAGTGTGATTTCTCACTTGTGTTAGGATTGTGTATCAGAGCTTTTGAAGGATATGAAGTCTGGTAGATTTGGAAGGACAGCTTTTACTTGCGTACTAAAACAGAGCAGCATCATGTTAAGACAAAATTAGCTGTTAGTACTTATTGGTCATGTTGCTGAGTTTTAGATTCGGGTCTTGATAAAAATGGCATAATAGTGTTCTAGCATCAGTGAATTTTTGCGTCTGTAAGCTAAAAAATGAGAACTAGACTGGTCTACAATCAGAGACCTGAATCAAAATGATTCTTTTTTATGATTTAATGTGCCGAAAAGTGTCATGGGATTGCCAGTTTATCTCACTGACAGTTGTGACTAATGGTGTAGGCTATTTATTAACAAGGAATAGTGACTGGATGGTATCGATAAAAGAGTCAGTGTGTAGGCTACGACGTGAAATCAGAATAAAGTATTTATCAAACTCAGTCAGAGTGAATTCCGAAAACAGCTAGTATAACTTCCATGCACCATCCTGTATCGTGCAACTAAGTTTTAAAAATCCTGTTATCATCATTGCGAAATTGGAGTATTGATCATCTTTGAACTCTATAATTCTGCAAACAATACCGTAAATATAGACTGCAAAGGTAGTGGTAGGTATGCTGTATAGTGCGGATGATGTGATCTTCGTGCCTTCCACCATCTGAATCTTTTCGATTTACTACTCCTAGAATAATCACACTTTAATAGGATCCGTTTTTTCACCAGCACTGTTTCCATTTGATGTCTCAGCATTGAGCTAATAATCTTTAACTCCGACCTTAATGAAAGTGAATAACTAAAGATATAATCCAAGTTTTTCTACTTTCATTTTACCAACGAGAAGAAATAAAGTAAATTTAAGTTAAAATCCAGTACAAAACGTAATTTTTGCAAGTGACTTTAAAAATTCAGCATTTTAAGCATGAGCACCGTCTTTCATAGAATATCAACTTATATCATTGCAATTTCAAGTTCGGTTAACTTATTTACCAGTTGGTTTTAAAAAGGATATTTTGAAAAAGAGCAGTTGATATTTTACATAAGTTTTGCAAATAAATTCACGAAAACCATGGTTTTATACTCACTCACCTGCAATAACAGTGAAATTAGGTACCACATTAGGCATGAACTGAACATTTGCTGTAGAAATAAAGTAAATATCGAAATATCTTATAATAAATAAATATACGATTTATATTCATTTAATATGTTCTGAAGGAGAGTAACTAGAATATCACAAACTTTGTTTATTCTAAATAAAAACATCAATCAACGACCTTGAAACACCATTTCTTTGGTGATTTTTCAAGCGTGGAACTGAAATTTACTCAGTTTTTATCCTTACTTCAGTACTTCGTTTCAGTATCCACTAGCAACACTGCAAACAACCTAAAACAGGTTTCATGGTGAATATAATAATCTTGAATCAATAAGCTGTGTTTTAATAATTCATATTTTCAATTTTGGTCAATTCAACGATTTGAAATAATCATTATCCAATTTTATCAATAGGTAACTATCTTATTTTGCACCTTAATAATTGAACTTCAAATAATCAATTTTGATGATATCTAACAGCAAGAACATCCCTAACAAAGATATGGTATGTGGATATTTTGTTCAACTTTGTTAAAGATTTCATCAAGTAGTCAATTTACTAATGAAGTTATAAAAATATAAAAATGAATAACATTGACATATATGTTAATAGATTATTAGCAGCTTGATATCGATAGCTCTGTTAATGAAAAGTCATTATTAGCGAATAATTCAAATAAAACGATAATAAACAGTCATTCTTAAAAAATCTTTATCTAACTGTCTATCACTTGGTAGATGTTATGCTTAATATTGGTACATACAGTTTGTAGGCTGTAATAGCCAAGAACTATACTTCAAGAGATAAGAACTGATTTAAATAAATATTTAAACTGCCAAAACAAGGTCATGCCAAATCAGTTTGACTTTTAAAGTAAACATTACTCGGCTACAGTTTAATCAGGCTGGAAATGAAATTCGCAACATTTGCAAAGTATTCTGATATTTTAATTAGTTACGAAATAAGAACAAAATTCAACTTGATCAATAAGCTTTATTTTCAAAAACAATTAGGCGTAGATTAAATTCAACTGATCCATGAGCACGAAGTGGTTTGCTGAAATGACACCATCATTTGTTGTCAGTAAACAATCAGATTGCACAATGTTTTATTGAAATGGAAATTAATCATTATTTCAAATGATAACTTATTTGACTATCAGTTTCCAAATACTCACAAAATATATTTATCTCAAAATGGTTTGAATTAGAGACTAACCTCTATCTTAATAGGTTTTACATTGAATAAAGCCATTTCTCACTATGAAAAAGAAGTCTATAAATGTTACTTGATGCATTGGGAAACTCAACTGAATGCGTAAATTCAAAGTTTTGTGAAACGTACTTTCAAGCGAAAAGGATGTCAAAGTGCTGTGAAAAGTGCTTCCCAGAGAAAACTACGTTGAAGTGCAGATATCAAACTCAATGACTTATTTATTCTCAATGAAAACAAACTATTGTTTGTGAAACAAATTTTCATTTGACAATGCCATCAACATAACAGTAGTATTAATAAGTAGTATTTCATATCATTAACATATAGTTTAATAAAATATTCCAAAAAAAAAAACAAGATGAATTAAAGGATGATTAAAAAAATAATATATCACTTTCATTGATAGACATTAAAATGAACATTGAGTCGCACCATAAAGAGGGGAGAGAAATTTTTGATGACCTTAGCAAATTAGGCGAATGACCTTATTTTTTTTTTGTTTTTGTATTTTGATTCTTTGCTTATATTTTTATTTGTTTATTGTTATTGTTCAATATTCCTTTCTTCCTCTATATATTACTATTATTATTATTATCTCATCATACCTTCTTTATTCGCCTCTTTAACAACAATGTTTTCCTTTTTTTATTATTATTATTATTATTTTTGAAATTTTGTTTAGATGACTCGATTTCTTTTTTTTTTTGATGTTGTTCATTTTTTGCAATTTTAGTTTTGTTCTCAGTAAAATAATGAATCAATGAATGAATGAGTGAATGAATGAGTAAATTGTATGCATATGCATGAATAAGACTGGAATAGAAGTGAGGAAATAAAATAGTTTAACACATTGTTGTTTTTTTTTAACTTTTTTTTTCTTCTATTTATTTATTGTAAAATTTCATTTCATTTTGTGCATTTCTACGCTCTGTTTACTTTATCGCTTTGTTGTTACAATGAAATATAAGATAGATGATATAAAGAAAATCACGAACAATAGAATTTGACCTTCCTCTTTACAGATGACTAAAGATGAATGGAAAATATAATGACGATTAACATTTTTGTGGTTATGCCGCAAAGTTTTTTCTGGATTCGCCAGAAGAATTAATGTAAAGTTGGTTAAAGTAATCGACAAATTACCTGACCAATTTGTTAAGAAATGGAGAATATCATGAAGACAAATAAACTCTTAAGAGAACAGTGAATATAATAAATAGACTGTGGTGAAGTACGTAGATTTATCGATATCATTTTGATAATTAATTTTGTTTCTACAAATTTAATTAATTATTTACTCACAACTGGCTGCCGATGATTGCTTTTATTCAATTAAAAGTTTGTCAACTATAAATATCAAACAAAAACGTTTTTCTTTCGCTTTTAGCGGCAAATAGGCGTAGTTTTTTACGATGTCCTAACAAATCCAATGTTCATGATTATCGTGGCGTAATGCTACAGTGTCGTTGCTTGAAGATGGAATGGTGTTAAAATAATACATAATGTTTCCGTAAAACCATCATTATAGGTAAGTACAGATGTTAGTAGACAAGACTTCTGACATTACAAACAATGAAAATCCCAAAGATATTTAGAAGTGATACAACTAGAAAAAAAAGTTTGAACTATTCAGCTTTGCACATGTAGAAACAATGAAATATATAAATTCATTTTCGATTATTCAATAATTCGGTGAAATATTTACAAAATTTAACTTCTGACTAAGAATTACAATAAAAAGCATAAAGCATTATAAATGAATTACCTGGCATATAAAAATGACTATCAGACCATCTACTTAAATTTGTCCCAATTTCACTAGAACGTTGAGAAGCTGAAAATGCTTGTTCTTCTAATTGTTTAGTGATTTTTTTAGCTAGAAAACAAGCTGAATTTTCTAAATTTAATAATTTTACAGATTCTAATTTGAATGGAATAAATAAATTTTTATGATTTTGTAAAATTGTTTCAGCTTTATCTAAATTTGATAATTGACAATCAGTTAATAGTTTCGATAGTTTCGGTATGTTATTTGATTGTACATAAAAATTTAATGGTTGATTAATATTAAGTAGATTTGTATTTTGTATCATTTGAAATGAATTGATATTAGTTATGGTAGAATCATTAGAGAGAAGAAATATTTCATCACCATCTTTTGGTAAACCTAATGGTAGAAATATCCAATCTAATTCAAACGATGCTAAATCAGATCCATTCTGTGGCATTTTAAATTGTATAATCTAATAAAAACAAAAAAAATGATATGGATTTACAGATATGAAAATTCAATGAATAAGTTTGTTTTTATTTAATTTGTTCTTATATAATGGAAACAAAACTAGAGTAATCAAAACGATATGTACAGTATTTGATACTGGGTCACTGGTCAAGGCACTCTGGGTTCGACCCCTGCTATGGAATTCCATAATAAAACGAGAAAAACTATCTACTTTTTCCTAGTTTCTAATAGTTGTACAACTAATGCACGTCTGTGGTGGAAACTACTACTGAAGAGATATAGAAATATATATTTAACATATATATACTGACAGAAGTAAGAGTAATTTTATCAGTAAAGTGAATTAGTTGGGAGTGTATAATTCTGACAGTTTAACTAAAAACCTTATCTGAGCTAGATAACCGTCAGAATGCTTGGAATATTGGATGATCATTTCGTTCTAGTATGAGGCCTATCAGCAGTCACGCGACGGGGAGTCGAGCTCGGAACCATCGATCCCATGCGCTAACGCCTAATCTCTAGATAATTACGCTGTCATACAGTGTTAATGTCTAACTTCTATCGATTTACGATAAAGCTCAATCGACATTTATAGCCCCTGGTGTAGAACTGTCACAGACATGGCGCAGCTGAACTCCATCGGTTACGGCTTCTCACTAGAATTCCAGTTGTATCCTTAAGTTAGTTACCAGTAGTTTTTTTGTCAGGTTTTCGTCTCAATTTTACAAGCCAGTAGTTAAATAGGAAGATTATTTGTTGAAAATAATTTTTTTTTCAACTGATAGGCATTTTTTATCAACTGGAAATAGACAAAAATTAGTATCTGAATATGAAGATGAACAAATGAAAATTGCATGGAGAGCTTTAAAAAAACGACTTTAATTTGAAAACACTAAGTTGAATTAAAAAAATTTGATTTCAAGTATTTTAAAATGTTTATTCTATACTTGTATTAAAAAAGAAATGACCATTCTATTTCACCTTTACTACTTAAATAAATTTAATCTCAATTGAAATAAAAATTGTAGTGATTACGAATAGTGGGAAAAAAATGTGTATATTTTGTCACTTTCAACAAGTTGATAATTATGAAACAGTCATTGAATAAATAGCTGACAGAATTGGACAATTGGTTTTTGTTTGAATGGTATGAATTTACTTTTAAGTTTATTTCATAGATAATATTTTAAGAATTTCTCATTAGTATACTGTTGATATAACTACAAGTTACAGCTGCATTAAAGTGGGAATATTTCTAAGCTTGATCACCATTTCGTTTTTCTGTGCATTTTGCCTCTAACAGCAAGTATGGTCATCGTTAGAATCAAAATGACGCAAGTAATGGGATAGTATGTGAAAAGAGTCACTAATGTCATGTCCATTTCAGCATTTATATACTTAGACAAAAACGTTCTTTATAATATCATGTCTACATAGTGGTTTTTCATCACTGCTCTTCACTGTAACTGGCCTGTTGAAGTTTATAAAGAGAATGAATTCAATTTGTTATTTTTTAGGTCGGTTGTTGATAAAACTGAAAAGACTTGAAGACAATATTTTAAATGGAGGTATTTTTTTCTTTGCCGAAACAAGGAATTTCTCCTACTGAAGGGTTTTATACCATAAAGCAAAAGCTGTTGAGTGGATCTTGATTTTCAATAATATTTTAACCTAGATAAAAAAACCATATACAAATTGAATGAATCCTTTAAAAATATTTCAGTAATTACCGTCCAAATGTTCATATCCTAAGATATTTTTTCGTAGTGATTAAGTACTAACTTGCAGATTAAGGAATGTTATCCCCTTTCCATCTATAGTAGAACATCTCTGGAAACATATGAGCAGTTGTTAGCAGTACGTCATAGATGGTGAATACTTGGTAAGAAAATATTTTGTTATTAGATATTAGATACTTTACACAAGGATCTACATTCAAATGACTACAACTTGTCGAAAACTGGAAAACGAAGAACTAGAAACTCATAATAATGTTAGTCGGAACCTTATGAATTAGTGGTAGTGTCTGAAACTGGAGTTTGAATTCCACAGGAAATATCAGTTCTCTGAAAAATTTAAGTACCTTCTAGTGACTGGTTCCATAGAGGCTGAGACTTGAGCCCAAAATTTTTACCAATGATCCGCAACTAGATGACACCAAGACACTGTATGCAATTCTCAGTCCCTTAGCATCAGTGTAACTAAATCTCTGAGATTTGATCAGTACTTAGGATCACAAACACTAAAATAGTTACTAATCACTGATCAATGTAGAAAATTGTAAAGTTAATCACTTGCTAAAAATGTTAGTAAAGTTACCAATCAAATGATTCTTATTTGAATTTTTCCGCACATTACAATTTTTAAATCAAAAATTTGCTAAACATTTTACCCAAGTCAATTATTTCTAAATAAAAACAACTTACTATACTAATTGTCCAAAAATGGACAGTTTATATCTGTAGTGTATCTACCAACATGTTAAGTTCACTTAGGTTGTCCCCAGCTTTTCGACAAACTAAATAACCATTCTTGACCGAGTTACTATTCACACGTCTTTCAAACTTGTCAATTATTCGCTGAAAATCTTTGTTGTTTTTATTTGAGTAAGTGCGTTCCTTGTTTCGCGCATATCACTGTCTAGCTTATTCTTGTCTGAATATAGATACTACTTAGTCATGCCTCTTCACATTGAGTCTGCTCACTCACCTTCTCCACTTCTTTCCACCTCTTCATTACGCCTTGTATTATCATACCTGTCTGCGTGAACGACTGCTTGAAATAAGCTCATTCCAATGAATGCTTACTTGACTTCTCATTACCACCGTCGCACAGATGGCGTTCGCCTAAGCATGATATACGGAAATCAAAGAGGAGATACGTTTCAGAGCATATTGAATTGTTCGTCTAAATCAGAGTCGGATGTCAGGCCATTAAAGGTCTCAGACTGTTATCACAAGTATACGAGAACTCATGAAACTTTTCTCTAAGCAGGCAGTTGTTTGAACTAATACACTTGTTTTAAAATATTATTATTTGACAATTAAACTAAGTTGAATTCAAGTACCAACTGCTTTTTCATGTTGTGTTTGCTGCAGAAATCACATCTAGTTCATATACTTTGAAAAACAATCTGATCTCACACGAACTAGAAGGAAGTGTTGATGAGATAGTCATAAAATAAATGTTATCCTATTTTAATTACAAACAATTACTGCTATTAGTAATCCAAAATTTAATGCAAATAATAACAATTTTTAAGACTTATTTTTGTCGATCACTTACCTCATATACATATAATTTCTCTGAATTAACTTCAGGATTAATTCGATTTTGTAATATTTCTGCAAGAGTTAAATTAATCTTGTTCAATGTATGTAATTCATAATTTTTTAATTTTTCAGGCCATTGAAATTTCATACGTAATTTAGTATCGGTTACCAATAGTTGAACTGGTGGAACTTTAGCCGATAGACGAAATTCAATTTCGACACTTTGAGCAAGTTTCACATTAGTTGCATGAAAGCTAATTAAAATGAACAATATACATGATAAATAAAGAAATGGTTCATTTAATCTACATAAAGAAAGCTTCTTTTATATAAATGAGAATAAAATGCACAAATAAACCATTGTAACTTTTTAATTAAATTCTTCTAGAAAATTAAAATGGCATATACATTTTTTTTACATGATAACCGATCCAGACAAAAAATATTGAATTTTCTTAAGACATTTGCACACTTTATACTTCAGTTCAATGGCGATCTACTAGCTTTCATCTTAAATCAGAAACTAATCCGTAGTATAGAATTTATTATACATTATGCATTTAATCATTGATTGTATAGTTTCCTAATTGATATAGTGTCATTTTCGAAAGTCATGTTGAATTTTATTCTTAATATTTTTTTTAACTAACCATGTGGAAATGGTTTTATCAAGCGTAATAACAAACAATCACTGGCAAATATATTCACTTATCTAAGCATATATTCAAAATAAATCACCTTATTAGAATTTAATTAAGCGAAAACAGTTATGATTGAAAAACCTTGGATAGTTAAGCTAATATTCGAATACATTGGTGATTTATTAATCGATATAAAGTATCCGCATAACATAGTTCTTTTATTTTGCGAAAAGGCTGACAAATTTATAATGTTCTAAATCTTTTAAGTAATAAAACAAGGTTTAGATTTTGTTTCGTTTCATTGAAATATGAAATACAATATCATTATGTGTGTAAGTTAGTGCTCGTTTTAACCGCAGAAAATCAAACGATCATGTATGTTGGCTTTACTTGTTATCTTGAGTTTTATAATTCTTGATTCGCAATTTATTACTTCGCATTTACAAAACCTAAACCTAGATAGGTAGGAGAAATGTATATCGTGCAAGTATTTAATCTTAGGTGTAGTTAAAATACTACGCCAGCTATTTAAATGTTATACGTTTAGATCCAGTTTAAAGTAAAAAAAGCAGTTGATTAGGAAGTGAAATTGAATCTATTAAGGTGTCTGTGAAATACGTCATACATGACAAGCTACCTACTTTTTCAACTGATTTCGTAGCCAAGTTCCAGAGTAGATGTAAATATAGCTTGGAAATGAAAACCAGAAACACTAAATCATTCTAATGCGTTATTCAATTCTAATCTGAACCATCAGTGTGAGTGAAGACTGTTTGTTATCCACACAGAAGTCATTTTCCGTGGTTAGAGACTTTTGATAGCATTGCTCAAGACTGAATGCAGTGACGCAGTTTGATTCATTTACCCTCTCTAAATATTTACTGATCTTCCTTCATCGGACTCATGTGTTCTGTGAAAATATTCAACCTATTATACACCACATCTCACCAATTACTTAACCGGATGAAGTGGCGAACGTTCACCCAAGCTCTTACGTTGATTAGAAATAGTTAAATGATTCTTCACTACATGACATGAATACATATAATACTTCTTTTCCTTTGGCCTTGAAGATTCCAAGTAAGGACTTGCGGTGTGACGCATTTAGCTGATTTCCGAAGTTTGTGTCTTATCCACCTCCAGCACCTTCTCCTGATTTCTTTCTCAACCGGAATCTGGTTTGCACTCTCCATTGTAGGTTGACTCTGGTAGTGTTTGGCCGACGGACCCGCAGTATTCTGCGTAAACACATATATCTTTTGGGTGACGGCTTTTGTAGTTCTTCAACTTTCCTCTCCATACCATAGAATTGTGTTGACATTCGTACTCAAAATTTTGACTTTTTTGTGGGTTGATAGATCTTCTGAGTTCCAGATGTTCTTCAATTATAGGAATACCACCCTTGCTTTACCAATCCGCGCCTTCCCAGATGCATCAGATCCACCTTGTTTGTTGGATAGAAGGGTTAGATGTGCAGAAAAATTCAGATCGTCCAGCTTCATCCGATCCTTCCCCTTTAACCCTTACTCCCCTTGAAATGTTGACGTCTTCATAATCCAGTCGACCACCAGAATAAAGAGAGAGTGTGAGAGAAAGCAAACTTGTCTGACACCAGTCTTGACTTGGAATAAGTCTGTGAGATTCATTCTATGCACGATTTCGCACTTTAACCCCTCACAAGAGTCCTTCTTCTCAGGACCCCGCAGTATCGACGAAGCCTCCATCCCGTCTACTCTGTCAAATGTTTTCACATGGTCAAGGAAGTTGATGTATAGTGGTGAATTCCATCCACATGACTGTTTTACAATGATTCATGATGCCTCTGAAGTTCTCACGCTTGTTGAGATCTCCTTTCTTTGGAATCCTGATGAGGAATCCATCCTTCTAGTGTGCAAATTCTTGTTCTTACTATCAAATCTTGTTGACGAGAGTGTGGAATATCTGTTTTAAGTGCATAAACTGGTATGATGTTCGCTTCATCTAATTTACCCCTCTTGATTTGTCAGATGACCATGCTGATTTCTTTAATTGTTTGTTGGGTGACATTTATGGACATTCGGTATGTGAATTCTTGGTAATTGGAGAATTCTGTGAGTCTGTTCGATTCAAGAGTTCTTCAAAGTGCTCTACCCACCTGTTTCTCTGTTTTTGAATATTGGTAATTGTTTTGTCTTCCTTGTTCTTTATCGATCGTTCTAGTTTACTATCGTTTCCAGTAAGCTTCTTCGTCGTACCTTATGGTTGTATCATGATTCCTTCTCTTGCAACATTCTCTGTTATCATTGCTAGGTCTTCCACATATTTTCGCTTATCAGCTCCGGTGCTCCTCTTTAACTCCTTGTTTGACTCTGCATATTCGGCTTGCTATGGCTTTCTCTGCCCTTTTCCGGCAGTTATTGATTGCTGTCTTCCTGTTCTTTCTTTCCGTAATATTTTCAAGTGTGCCAACAGACAAAAACTCCTTATGATGTTGCTTCTTGTGGCTCAGAACATCATGACATGCTGAAGTTATTGATTCTTTGATTTATTTCAATTTGTTCTCCATGGTAGTTTTCTTATCATTAAGTAGATCGTGAAAGGCGTGGAAATTGTTGTTGAGAGCTATTTGAATTTGTTGAGTTTGTCAATATACCGAAAGAACGCTATATTAGAGTTTTGTGATGCTGTTCGCCCGGTTTTCCAGTGCACTTTTAGTTACGGTTTCATCCTGCTAACCAGAAAGTGGTGATGTGAAGCTATATCAGCATCTCTCCTCGTTCTCGCGTCCTTCATGGCCAATCTGAACTTTTTATTGATGCAGATATGGTCGATTTGGTCTTGTGTAGTGTTATCCGATGAAATCCGTGTAGCTTTGTATATGCGGTTGTGTGAGAATATTGTTCCGCTGATGACCAGTTCGTTAAAGGCATATAGGTTTGCAAACCTCTCAACGTTTTCGTTCCTTTCTTCCAGTCCATGTCGTCCCATGATGTCTTCATATCCGATGTTTTTCATGCCAACCTTGGCATTTAGGTCTCCCATCAGAATAGTCATATCCTTTGGTGAGCATCTGTCGACGATTGACTACAGCCTTTCGTAGAATTGATCTTTAACGTCGTCATTGTAGTCATTGGTAGGTGCATAGCATTGGATGACGTTCATTGTAATGTCCTCTTTCTTTGTTTTGAAGGATGCTTTAATGATCCTGGGTCCATAAGATTCCCCTCCTATCAGTGCCTTTTGTGCTTGTTTGGATAGCATCAGTTCACCTACTTGTGTATGTGAGTTATTTTCTTTTTCGTGGCCGGAGTGTTTGTTGTCCAACCCTTATACCCAGCCCTTCTCTTTTATCGAGGCTTGGAATCGACAGTAACCCTAGAAGGGCTCCAGGCGGAGTTTGTATACATATTAACTGGAGCAATATTAGTTTAAATATATTTTATTAGATTTCTAGTTTTGACTTCTAGTATCCATATTATATAACTTAGTCGACAATCATATAAGTTTGTACCTTTTAGAAAGATATTTTTACAAATGCATATAATTAATAACTTTCCGCATGATGTATTACACCTTCCCTATTCAGCAGTACTGATAGAATATCACTTTTAGTCACCAATCATGCAAACTGTAGACCCAAATAGTTTGATCTTATGGATATTTGTCGAAAAAATACGTACATTGTTATCGTGAAACGTCTATCATGACTGTTTATTTAAAGAATATTTAAATTACTTATCAACAGTATTTATCTTTGACATATAGACATAATCAATGAATCCTAGTTACTCAGTGGTCTTATAATATACTGCTTATTTCACTACCTATTTGTGAACAATAATACTTTGAATGCCAGTAATCTTACTAGTATTTCCGGCTACAAGAATAATGTTTGTTAACTTCCTATTGATAAAATTTCAAATGTACTTTGGATAATTGACATGAATTTTCTCAATACTGTCAGGACATATATATATGTAATAGTCCTAGTATGTAACTCCTCAGAAGTATCCATTTACGACTCAGACACAGAGGATCTCCGGTCTCACGTTCAGCTTCTAAACCACTGAGTCGGTATTAATATCTAACTTCAATCATTTCATTGTATTGTATGACCATCATCCACGGTGCGAACTGTTGAGGAGTTTCACACCAGGATGAAATGGCTATTCAATGCTTTCAGGTTTTTGAATGATGGTTTAACCGTGATCAGTTTATGATCCCAAAGAAACCTAGAAATCTTCACAACCCTATAGTGATATATATTTCTATCAGGAAGTATATACCATGTGAAAAACGACATGAAAATCAATCGAAATAAAATTGGCCTCCTGACTGTTTAAACTAGTAAAGAAACTTTTATATGACCAACAATCTAGTTAGTCATTTTTTGTCCATATTTCATGTGTACAAATTATCTATTATTAATGTATACTACTGGTAACCATAGTATCGCAACTTATATAAGATTAATGCAATAAATTTCATCTTCTCTTAAATTAGTATTCTAGTCAAAAACAATACCAAAATCATTTTGAGTTTTCTCTATTTTTTCAAACGGATAAACATTGTTTATCAATTTGGTTATTTATATGAAGGCACACTATTGTACCTTCTTTTTTTTAACAATATCGGATAGAGTTAGTTTCTTACACTGAATAGAATGATTTATCTTAGTATATGTCATCACAGTTATACAGTTATGTGTGAAAATTCTTACTTTAGGGCCAAACAATATAAAAGAATAAATCAAATGTTTTTCCACTGTTTAACTTCCGAAGTGTTGGCTTTCCAGCACTTATATTAATGTTATTTCAATAGAATTAATCTTTCGGAACTACCGCAGTACTATTGGTTAAACGTTATTCCTATCTAACTGGTTATAACAAGAGTATTTACTAATGAAAACACTCGAAATTATCGAGAAAATTTATCTGAACAATTAAATATAGACAAGGAAGTCTAGCAAAGAGACATAATAGTTGGCATTTCAACTAGGAAATCTTTTCAGATTAATAATTTACAGTGTGAAGTACAAGGCAAAGGGAATAACAGAGACGGAGTAGAAAAATTATGTTTAAACAATCTTAGTGTTTGGAGTTTGAATATTTTTTTATAGTTTCATTTGGTTAACTAGTTAAAGCTCATTTAGAAGAGCAACTAACATCAAAATAATCAGCGATAAATAAGGTTTACTAACTTAATTATGGCAAAATCTTGTCAAACTACATTGAAGTGTTGATTTCGTTCGTGTAACTTCATAATGACTCACATTATATGTAAAATGTGCCTAGAATGTGCAATGTGATTGAGTTGATGTATATCAGTATGCTGTCGGTAGTTAAGAATTCAGTGAGTTATAATCAGGAAGATGATAATCATATTTAGTAATTAGGATGTTGATTATTTCTGTCAAGAAGCTTGGACCACTTTACGGAGAAAAAATTGGAATTATTTATATTTCATTGACAGATCATATTCTATAAAATTGGCGCCCAAATTCAAATTTCGATAAATTTTTACATAAACAACGGTACACTAAGGAAGATTTTCAAGTGTTTTTGTTAGGGAAAAAAGCAAGTAAACCAGTCTAACAACAAGTGTCTATTTTAGATAATGTCACGGAGTGATAGAGGAAAACTATTAATCACTACAATGTCAGCGACGACTACTCCCTTATTCATTTATGATAACAATCAAAACTTCACAAAAATAATATTTCTTTATGAAATTTGAAGTGTTGTAAAAACGTCAAATAAGCCAAGTAATTCAAACTTTACACAGAAAAAACTAGCTGTCCGATTATGAAAATAAATTCTACTATTCTAATTCAATTTATTTATATCATACTTCATATTATTTCCGTTTTTTCTTATGAAAAAAAGTTTTTTTAATTGAAAATGTTTTATTTACTTAACAATAACAAAATCATTTTATTTTTTCAACTTACAAAAGTGTAATAATTTGTGATATTTTCAAATTGCTTATTACACATACTTCTCCAGTGTGGACATTCCATGAAAATGGTGAATCACCTAGAGAATAATAAAATGTTATATATATTTATATACAATAAACAATCAGTTTATAAATTATATTTATAACATCATACAGTTTGAACAAATAAAACTCAGCATTAATTTGTTATTTAATAGTAACAGTTGTACATGTGAAAAGTTTTTCTTATGAGCTAATCCTTTCTTGATGAATTGGATATAGTTAATGATATATTCGTCAGTTGATATGCTTGAAACTATTAAGAGTTCACCTTACTCGGTAAACGAAAGTGAAGACAATTGATCCATTGACACGATAAACTATTCTAATCCGTTTTCCCAGGCCCTGCTAATTATATCAAGAAGTCTTGATAAGGCGTAGAAAGTGTATTCTACAAGCACCCAGAAAATATGAGGTTGACAAGCATACAAATCAAGTTTATTTATACATGACAGAGACGTCCTTGGGAGAGCCACAAAAATAGCGTACTAAAATAGCACATCAATAAATGACAGTCAAGGATTTTCCGAGTGAGAAATGTAATCTCAAGGTCAATCAACCAGCTTATGTATGAAAACACAAAATCCAAAATTAGGAGCTTTTCCAAGTGAGTTCTGAGGATCTAGCGCCCCCAGCAGTTAAGGAAAATAAAACTTTCTGTTCAACGATATTATTTAATCAAATTGCGCAATCCTATTCATAGTATATTTTACATACAGCAGTGTACTATAAAATAAAAAAAACACTTTGGGTCACTAAATAAAGTTATAAAACGTTTATGGGATTTTCCAAGGATCGAATACATATAAGTCTACATTAATCAGTTCTTGAATCTGTTAAAACGGTTTCGTTCGAAGTTCTAAGTGAACGTCCATATTTGGAACAGCAGAAAAACTGTTCCATCATGAAAATCTGTAAGATAAAGTTCAGTTTGCCAGATGTTTTGAAGTGGTAGCCTTTAAGACACCAAGCGGTCTAATCGTCAGCTTATAAACGATATGTCTGAACACCGTCTCTATTTAGATTTATGTTCTGGTGTTTTGTGAACTAGTGTTACACAATATTTGTCAATTTGTCATTGTCGTTAATCTCCTGAATCCACTTTAAATTGAAAAAAATCACTTATTTATGTGTAGTCACTAATATGAAACGTAATTGCAACAAAAATTGATCACAGTCATCTTAATAAATAACATTAACTAATCCGTAATTATTTCCCTAGATCAGATGGGAATTTATTACTTTATCCTCAGAGTAAATTAATTAATTGTTTCTAAATAAAATTCGAGGGACAATAAACTTGCAGGTAAATAAAAATTTATAAATTTGTTGTGCTTTATTTTGATAAATAAAATGCATAGAATTTTCTATAAATCCTAATATTATTAAATAATCAACATAGTACTAACTATAGAGCAATATTTTCAAATGTTTGATTTCAAATACATGGAAAAATAAAATATTTTTATCAACCAAATTGTGCTTCATGAGTTTTAAAACTTATTTATAACTTCGTACTGTGGTGAGAAAAAGGAGTTCCTATTTGTCAGTTCATCAGGACTCTGGCTACGGTCCAGGTGAGTGGTTTGAGACGTTAGCAGACACAGCCCGGAATGGAAGCCACTGGTAGTCGTACTTTAGTCTTCTTTTAAATGACAAAAATATTGACACCACTTTGCCGTTTAACGAAAATAACAAACGTGAATAAAGTGTGTTGTATTTCGAGTAATGAGTTGCACAGATTAAGTAGTTAACAATTCTTTTTTTAATAACATTAATCAATTATTAAAATGTAAGAAATTTGATTGGCTTTACTCACCTTTCACTTCCAAGTCTAATTTGTCAAATGAAAGAGTTTTCAGTTCTTTGAACCAATAAATAGGTATTTGATAACACCAAAATACGCCTTGTTAAGAGTAAAAAAATATTGACAAATTGTTGTTTAATTAGAATATACAGCTTTAGTTAGGGAGCATATTTCAAAAATACTAATGATGTTAATAGTTGTATCAAAAACAGAAAAGAACACTTTTTTCTGAAAACTTAGTTCAATCCCTAATATCAGTAATAAAGGGCAGAATGAGAACAGATATAACAACTTAAAGGTACAGAAGCAAGATTTATACAGAAATTGTAATCGTTATTGTCCTTAACATTTGAGTAAGTTGGAAAATGTACTAATTAATTGACAGAAAGATTAGTTATTACCTAAATATATTGACTAAGTAATAATCAAAGCTGTTTTGTCGAGTTACAGTTGTTAATCGCTTTTTAAACCACCAGTGTCCGCTAAGGCAAGGAACTCACCAACATGATTGACATCGCCTAATGCATGTTAGTAGGAGATATAGGTAAATAAAGTGTACTCAAAAAGCATATTTACAATACTGAACTAATTTTTGAGCCAACTAGCCATAAGATCATGATGTTTCTCTGTTTGATTTTCGTTTAAAACGCATTTTGATGAAATACAGAGGGAACAATTTATTCGTTTGACAAGAAATGGATTCGACAATTTCCGAGAAATTAACTTCTCCATTTCACTATTAACAAGATGCATGGGTGTATTGAATAGCTCAGGCAATAAAATACGATGATTGTTTACTTTTGTTGATTATTTGATTGACATCAGTGTAAAAATGAAATAAAACTGATATCGTTCTCATCCTGTTTGTATCATGGTTTAGTGTGTAGACGATAATTATTGAATTACTTAGAACAAGCATTTTGAATAAAATATATCGGAGGTGATTTCTAATTTTTTGAAATTTTTTCTTTGAATTGAAGTTAACAGTAAAAGATTGAAAATTGAAAATTGTGAAAAAGTGAAATTTCATCTTGAATAGAGAGAAGTATGTCTGTCAATCATGACTATTGTTTTCCAAGCCGTACAAGAAAAAAACAACCTATGTACACATAGGCAATGTCAATCATTATGGCAAAGAAATATGCCTTTAGAAATGGATGATCAATAAATGATTGTTTAACAGACCTAAAGAAAACTTGTTTTGTTTTCTTTTCAAACTCTAAAAAGTTTTCAATCTTTAAAATAAAAAAATCCTCAGCCTATTTTGTATTATAATCAAAACGGAAAATATCGTGATATAGTCAATTAAATGTGTTTCATTTATTTTAAACCATCCACACATATTGAAGGTTAAATAACACTTTTGTAAGTTAAGTTTGTGTTTTACGGAATGATGGCGTTATTACCTTGAGTAGATGAAAGAGTAACTTTAGTACCTAAGAATGAAATAATTAGAAGCGAGAAGATTTTTCATAAATAATTTACGATGATAGCATGTGAAATAGATAAACATTTTGAAATATTGAAATTTTTAGTATAATTCACAACAAGACTGATTTATCATGAAAAATACTATGGTGGTTCAATTTTTGATTTAAATACAAAAGAAAGATTTTTAAATCAGTTAAAATTAGCGTTAAAAAGAATGTTGTTTATTTTGTGTATGATACTATCGAGTAGTGAACAAACAACTTTAATTTTGTGGATGAGAAAGGTATTATTGCATAAATTGATTTGGTTTAGAAATTTACTCGACATAAATCATTCAGCATTTTTCGTTAGATTACGTTTTGGAACTTATTTATTACACGATTCTTGTTATAATGCTGCTACGTCGCTATTCAAAATCCTATCGAATGACCAAATTCAAATATTCCAATATGACCGCAAATACTGTTCCCAAATCTCCAATATATCGTAACACAACACCGTTAGAAGAAGTTGTTTATGGGGTCGAGTCCAAGAGGAATGAAGGAGGGAAGAAATGGAATGATGAGCTTTACAGTTAGGTCGAATAGGAAAGAACATTGAAGTCTGTGACATTGATAGTTAGGACGACCATAATACTGACCAGTAGGAGCTGACCAATAGAATTAGACTTCCAAAAATAGTTCTCCAAGAATATTTGATGAATATCCTACAGTTCTAGTAAATCTTAATTATTTAAGGGGTTCCTAGTAAGAGTACATCTCAATGAATAAATGAATAACTCACCTGGGGGTATACGTAAAATAAAATTCTTTCTGAAAGGTGATGGACGCTTTACAATTATCTGGAATGGTTCTAAAAATGTGAAATGATTTGAAAAACGGTAAGCAAAAAAAGTTTAGTTTCTTAAAATACTTATTAAATATGGTAATATAACACATTAAGCTTTTCAGGTGTAAGTTTATAACTTAATTCTTAAATTTTACTAGTCATTCAAATGACTTAGATTTTAAGAAAACAATTACACAAATGACATATGTTAAACTATGCAAGCGGTTAGGATTGATTACTGAAGCAAACTGACTGAGACTTATTTCACACGACAACTTTCATACGATGAAAACATTGCATGAGTGTGTTCTGTTTGAAATGTAAGAGAATCAGAAACTATGCAGAAATTCTCACACACAAATAGTGGTTATCTGTCATATCATATTTTTCCTGTCAAGGAAAATCTTAACGAATATTTATTTTATGAATTGTTAAGAAAAATTGGAGACCATGATAGATTCAGATAATCATTTGTGTTATCTAATTCTTTATAAAATTCTTTGAATATACGATTTGTTCGATCTATGAAAAAATTTTAAATCAATCGTTATGCTACCAAACAAGAATGAAATCTGAGTAAAATTAGTTTATACTATAGTTAAACCAGAGTCAATCATTGAGTGAAGAATTCCTTGAATAATAGTCCAGATTATACATTTCATCTACGTGAGATCGTCTTTTTTAGACAAAACACAAATAAACGAATGTGCTATACTGATTCATTTAACCGACGAAATGATGCAACTTTAATTTTCAAAACGTCTACGTTATTTCGAAAAAAAGGGAGTAAAATTATTTGATATCTCTCTGTTTATGATTATACCCAAAGGCAAATATGAAAATATGTTAGTAATTTTTGGTTGGAATTTCAATGTTCAAACAATTGTGCATCTCATTTTCTCTCTTCCTTTAAATTCATTGAAGCGAAAGCATTTGTATCATGCCGTTTTTTCTAAAGTGACCCAGTTCAATTAGGTTACTTATAAAAACGAAAAACGAATAATAGTATCTTGTTGTTACGACGTATAGAATTCACTCTCCCTTAATTTTTTACTTACATGAAATTTTTATGATATATACGGTAGGATTATTTAATTATTCGCTTGAACACAACTTCATTAGTGATTTTTTCTTGTTATGATTTATTTTAGATTAGATTATTGGTTTTGAAAAGTTGAAAAATTATGTAAGGTGAAAGGTGAAACTTATTTACTATGCTATTTTGATAGAAGTAAAAGACAATTTATTTTATGAGAGTATAACTAACAATTGATTGTATCACAGGATTAATCTCAAATTATTCTTTTAAGTTTTACTGCTTAACTGTTGTTCAATCGTTGGTTATTTATGATCTTCATTATTTTTATCTTCATCACAGTTATAAATTCAACTGGAGTATACTTTATGACTTAAAGACATGCTGTTTTAGGTGTCATTTTTTACTAGATATACCTGCATCTGTCGTCCACTAAAGATATTATATTCCTATTGACCGATTGTAAGATCCATTTCTTGAAGTCTTTGTTTGTGGAAATCCCTCCATCTATATATTTGTGATTTGTTCTGATTGATTCCTTCAGTTGTACATTTTGTTAGTCTGTTTGATTCCATTTGAGATGATAATATTTGTATTTTATTATACTTTCTATTCATTTTGCCTTTACTGAGTTTCTATGTTTCTTTCTGAACTGCATTTATGTTGTTTAAGCTGATACTTAGTCATGGCAACAGCCATATTGATTTGTTCCTCTTTTGATTGTGTCGCTTGTATTGACTAGAACTGTGTATTTCGATTGTGAATTGAAGCACTCTTCCAGAATAGGAAGCACTCTGTGTTATAAAGCAACAAAATATTATCTTTTGAAGGAATCCAATCTATCCACAAGAGATAGAATATCATTTATTTGTTACTGCTGATTTGAATAATTGAACAATAGTTGGTGGAATAACTGAGTGGTAATATTTGTTTAGGTAATGATGTATATTTATATTTATGATGAATATCAGAACCCTTCATTTACCCAATCACTTGTTTTGGTTTCATTCGGGAAAGGCGCGTATCTAAACTACCTAGACAGCTATTCCTCAGCCCAAACCTCAGTTTGGATCCTACACCAATTACTCGCTATCAAGGGTCTCAATAACAACCGAGTTTATTGAACAACATTTGGAAAATCCATAAAATAGGAATTTTATATTGCAAACTTGTGTTTGATCAATAATATAAGTGCACACTGATTTCCCAGAAAACTACTTTTACCTCTCGTATTAATTTTATATCGTTTCATTCGAAGCTTAAATTTCGTTTTATCAAAAAAAATATTATTTTATAGAAAATTAGATTATTTTGTAGTACAGTCTGTTTTATAACGCATGAACAGTTTAAATTGTGTGTTGAAATTATAGCTGAAAATTTTTTTAAAATCTCGACGCTCAGTGATTTACAGAGTATAAAAAAAAGTCTAGTACTGTTGAGATAAAATTAATAATGACATTCCTATGGTTGAATGCATCTATTTCATAATAATTATTGAGTTTTTATGCGATATAATGAATTAAGAATAGTTTAACAGTTAGTCAACTTTAATTTTTATCAATAAGTAAGAAAAAAAGGGCTGATAAAAATAATCGATTCACTTACCACAAGCTCTATTCTGATCCCTGTCTGTTGCACATACAATAAATGTGTGATTTCCAACATGATCTGGCAATGGTTTAAGTCGTATAATTTGATTCTTTGTATCGAATGATACCCACTTTTTGATATCACGTGTAATTTCTTCACCAATAGCTTGATTCAAATCTTCCATAGACTTAAGTTCCATGTAAGAAATATTCTGTCGATTTGAAGCATATAGAGTAAGCTTCAGATTTTGTGTATAACCATCTTGAAGGTCATAGAATGTATTCTGTGGTATTTGGACGTTGGATATTTGATAAACTGTTATTTTTATTGGTGTTATGTAATTTTTAACTCTTGGTATATTTGAATGAATGAGATCGGGACTGGGATGTTCTAAAAATGAACGATAGTCCATTTTGGAAAATTGCTGGAATGGAACCATGCCTGAACCTTCTTCTAAATATCCAGCTTCACGTGATGACGCAGCAGATCTTTTAACAAGAGGTCTTTTCATAGTGTCTCTGTTTGTCGGAGCTGTTTCATGCAAAGAATTATGGATTTGATCACCAACAATCCATTCAGCCAACTAGTCAATGAAATCGAAAACATATTGATGATGTAGTGAACCAGAAATTAACATAAAAACAAGTGAATAATGTTGAATCGGATTCAACACGAAATGTTTATTCATGATATGTCATAAATCATTACACTTTGAGACCATAATCATTGATTACTTAAGTATTACTCTAAATGATCAAAATAAATTCTCTGTCTTTACCTAATCAATAATTTCATTTTCTGGTTACGAAAATATATATTTCTTCTTTACAGACGGAAGTAACGCAAACACTTACGAAAAACAAGTTACTCGTAAAGTGATACAACTCCTGTCAAACACAGATGGTTTCATAGACAGTGAGAGAGTTAATAGAAATAATCAAATATGGTATGAGAATCATCATTGAACATTCTAGAAAATGTGCTTGCGCTTGAACATTTAACATTGTTTTTAAATTATAGCAATTTCGGTAAATCAAACAATGTACAATCCCTGATAGGATTATTCCTAAAATGTTAGCATCAATATTTTCCATTTTTTCTAAACGGAAACACATCCATTTTGTGGGTAATCAAGGTCTGACTGAATAATTACATAAAGATGTACAATAATTAAACATAAAGACATATTTTGGTTGTTGAGTTAAAGCAAATTAGGTATCAGTTGGCTTAGAATTTATGAATAATCAATATATTATTCTAGTATGACCTAATAATAAATGGATGACAGTTTTTATTATACATTATATCGTCAAATATACTTAAGTATATACAAACATTGGATTTATAAACAATTTATTAAATAAGCTCTGAAGTGTATTCATTCATCATTGTTTATATTTACTATTTTGACACACTCAGGAAAAATTAAGTAGGATTGGGAAAAATTGCTTTCTAACTAGTAATCTTTGTTATGTCAGTTGGATGTGAATGCTGATTGAATTATACTGATGACATATTAACTGTGGTCTATTAACCTTATGCTAAAGTTTATTTGATATTAGGTGATTCTAAGCAACCAAGAGAAAGTCTTTGGTATATTTTGACATTTGGGTACATAAAGTTTAAAACCATATAGTTAGCCGGGTAACTCAAAAATATGCAAGTGAATCCTTTTATTGACTGCTTTTTATGATGTGTTGTTAATTTAATATAAAAATTGATAACCACTCTAAACCTTCTTTACCAATAACTATCAGGCACTTACTAGAAGCTAAGTTTGAAAGGTAATTTCTATAGTTCTAATGGGAAGCTGTAACCGGTGGAGTTTATCTAGGTTAGATATGAAGCAGTCACTCATCAGTAGCATGACGCTACATACTGGATTTATTAAAACTAGAAATGTGTCCACTGGGTACCAATGTTGAAAAGATGGTACTCTTTGAGAGAAGTGAAAGTCCTGGGTCTAATGCTTGGTAGAGTCATGGATGCTCACCGATGAATCATACCATACACCTATGAAAATACTGTCCAGTGTTTGTTGGTTTTTAGTCAACTTTTAACTAAGATCAATCAGTGATGTTGACTATGAAATTCAGCGATTTCCGTATATATATACATATATATGAACAGATAATCATTTAAATGTTTGAGTTACTTATCAGACAATAAGTGATTAACAAGTGATCAAAAAATGAACAACAACATTAATCAAGGATATTTTTTTATGTTCTTCCAGTCCTAACAGTAACAGATATTGTAAAGATTATAGTGACTGAACAAGTAGAAATAAATAAATTTCATAAGAAATCACCTGTTTTCTTATTTATATATGCAATACAGGATGGTAATTCTAGTGTTACAACCTAACCTAGCGTTTATCTTAACTTCTTTGTACATTCCACCCCAAAGTTTTATTCTGTGGTTGAAATATGAGTTTCTGAATTGTTTTAAATTATATCTCTTACTGACTAGTAAAAGTTGTTTTGACATTAATGATAAAGTACTGTGACAAGATTACTCTGAGGCATATTTCTGTGTCACGTGGTCAACAATTGCCTAAATGTTATACTTTGTAACTTTTTAAGAAAAAACTATGTACATGGATGGACAGAGTTTCACAGGTGCTGTTTAACAGATCACAGTCAAACATCTTAAGCTTTACACTGATACACATCAACTTAGCATTTATTTTCAGAATATTACTGATTATTGCTTTCGCAAAATAACTAACTCAATTACAAAAACAAATTAGTTTCGGCTATTGTTCTGCAAATTGAAATTTGTGTGATTTTTATAATAAAAAAAGATACATTAGATGTATGTACATCGATATTAAATTATCGGACACTATATACATTGGTAGAATTTATAGTGAATCAAAATCAAAACTGAAGCATAATCAAACAGAACACACTAGGGACGAGCTAAAAGGTTACCATAAAATCTTACTACATAGTTGTATGCTTCTGATGGATCACTGACTTACGATAATTTTGTATGTTTCGGATATATTTTTGTGTGACTTTTATTAAATTAATTATAAACAAATATAGTATTAAGTTCATAATTGTCTAAGTTCAGAAATCTAAATCCATTATCAACACAATAGAAAGGAATTTCAGAGTAGAAGAAATGAAAGCAAACTAATGAAGTTGATTGTAAATAAAAAGTAAGTATATTTCGAAAATTAATAAATGTAATTGAAGAATAGAAGGTTAATGCTTAAAATTTCATGGAAGATTTAATACCTTTGCTTTACTGTTAATGATTTTGAAACAATTGAGATTCATAACCATGCATCGTAGACTTCAACCGAGATGTTTTAACTTTTAATAATGACACATTTAAGGATCAATCGACTTTATGAACTGATAATTGTTATCTCTTTTTCTGCTTAAAACTATGTTAGTCATAACAGCGCAGTAAGGGAGAGGATAGATCAAGATATGCATCAATTCAGTCAATAAACAATTGCGGGTATACTGGATACCGAGGATATTATTTGTACTATGTAAATACACATTATAGATATCTAAAATCAATGAAATTACCTTATTTTTCCTAGAGTAAATAATAAATGATTAACTTTTTATATTAAACTTAATGAAAATAAAAATATCAATACACTACTTGTTAATCAAATCACGTGATAAAGAAGAATCCCTGGACTCAATAAATTCTGGTAAACTGAATTTCTGTATAAATCTCTCAGTTATGTAGTCAACAATGAATAGTTTAAAGATGCTCATTAAAATACATTCATTTAAAAAACTTCATTCTTTCTGGGTTAGTTTGTAATTCCATCTTGTTCAACTCATATAAAAAACCATTTCCCTAATTCGAACTCTGAACAAAAATAATACACTGAGAAAAGGAACTGATAAGTTCAATGTTCAGTGTATTCTTTTACATTGACTGAACACTTAGTTATGATTGTTATTCAGAAGGCTTGAGATTCATAACTAATACTATTCTAGCTGATCAATTACATCATACCATATGAAGTTATTCATCAGTTTTTCAGTACTTAAAGACTTTAGGTTAACCAACCTTTTTGAGCATTTTTCTATTCATTTAGTGGGTGGGTACTGAATATAGGAGTGTTATCTATAATATTGTTATGTTCGTCACTAGGTACGCTTGAAGCTATTACGAGTTCACCTTAGTCGATAAACGTGAACGAGACAACGAATCAGCGTTCAGGTAGGCTACCTTGATCCCAAACTGCAAAACAGAAGTCTTGATAAGCGTAGAAAGTATATTCTACAACTCCCAGCAATCACAATACAATCAGGCACACAAATCTCGTTTATTTATACATCATAGAAATGTTGAGATGGTGGAGAAAACTTGTAGCTCATGTGGATGATTGTGGTGGTGTTTCGTTCTCATAGAAATGCCCTTGGGACAGTCACAAAAATAGCAAACTAAAATACACAGCAGCCAAACACAGCCAGGGATTTTCTTGGTGGGAAATTAAATCTCAAGGTCAACTGATCAGCCCATGCTCGCAAACATGAAATCCAAGATAAGGCATTTATCAAGCGAGTTATCTACATCTATCCACTATGAACACATAAGTGTAGCGCGCTTTAAATAATATACGGCAGAAGTTAAGGCTTGAAATGAAATGTTCATTGAAAATTACACTCTTATACACACCAGTGACCCATTAAATAAATAGATTTTTGCTAGGAATCGCATTGAAAACGGATGTACAACGCTCCATGATCAACATCATTTCTAGAGTAATAATTAAAGTTTAACATAAATAAATTTCAGTTTTGATAACACACATTGTATCATAGAAAAAAACGAATGAATTAATGCTTATGACCTCTGGGTTAATAATGAAAAGGTTAAATGTTGAATTTTGAATGAAAATAATCAACTGAATGATTAAACTGATGAAATTAATTGAATATGATTATACGCTGTCTTTGTGATGTGATTATTTCATGTTCAAGTTAATGTTTATTGATTTAACAAATTTATTCAATAGAATACATCTATTATTGTTTCATATTAATATCTACTTGAGTCTATGACCTTATTAGGTTGACAAGATTATAAGTAGAAAACATAGGTTGACAAATAAATAAATAAGTAAAGGTAAAACAATCAAAAACAGGAAGTATAATTCAAGCTATTTTTATTTGTCCTCTGATATATTTTATTAGGTGAACCATGTGTTCCGACAACGATCGCATGACTGAATACAATAGAACTAAATATCTCAAATACACAATGATTTTTTAAATGGAAGCATTTGACATTTGCAGAATAAATGAATCTATTACAAATCAATATTTTATTCAATGAACTTTGTCATGTTATAAGATATAATCTAAGTCCTAACGTTAAAATTACTTTCGAATCAATTTTTGTTTGGTATTATATAGGGAAAATCATGGTTGAGGGTTTTTCAACGGTTTGAACTTCTTACGAAATACGAATTATAAGATATAATGCCTACCACTGAAATGTGATAATAAGTACATTGTTTGTTACTTATTCTTGATCTAAATCACTTCGAAATGATATTGAAATTTGAAAGGAATCGTGAAAACGTACTTGGTCAAGATGGTTGAAAATCAACCGTCTTCGAAAACAGCGAATGGGATAATTAAGCTCATGATAGTAAACCACAAATAAAACATTTGAGAAGTAACTCCTCGATTTCTGGAGCAAAGCGATGATCACTGGGGTTTAACCATGAGAGGGGTTAGATTGTTATTCACAGCTGGCAATGGATGACAGTTAAACATTATTGTTAATCGATAAAAGTCATACGTTAGTATAGTTGGATGAAAGATCTGTGATCTAGAGCTTAAAATTTCACACATGAGATCGAAATCCCTGAGTCGAGTTCCTCGATGTTAGGTCGTGAATACACACTGCTGAGAAGTTCCATACAAAGAAGAAACAGTTGAAGGTTCTCAAGGCTGACATGACTAGGCCAGTTCGTGACTTAAACTATGAAAATTCTACAATCTCCATAAATCCTCCATAATAAATATTGAAATCGTTAGTGTTATCAATCCAAATCTGGTGTGGAAGGATGAAGATATCCATGGGTTCGGGTAAGAGAACGCCTGATGAATTATCGAACGAATTATAAGTCAATGTTAGATTTCCGTCGTTTCGCTCAATACCCAAGAGATCGTCTTGGTTACAGATTAAATTCCTTGTTGACGCATTTTTAATGTTTTTTCTATTATCAAATAATTTTATCACATTGTATGATATTCTGTTTAAGTGAAATAACAAACTGTTCATACTGCTTATGCAATATCAATCGGAGTTTTTTTTTATGGCTCACTAGGTCTTCTATAAAGTCAAGTTAATTGCCAGTTACGGACCAACATATCTTTAAATGTTAGCTTAGGAAGATGGTGGCTAACAATGGCATCCAGGATGAGCATTTGATCCTATTTAGGACTGGTCTACTGGATGTACCTGCATCCCAGAGTTGATATTTCATTACAAGCCACCATCCATTTATGCTAATAGTGCTTGTGACTTAACAGCAATATCGAGTCATTTTCGCAGAAAATGTACATATGCTGAAGTGACTGACCAACTTCAGTCAAAAACATCAATGGTAAGATTCAAATGACCAATAAAAATGTATTGAAATTGTTATAAACACTTTCAGCTCAGTGAGAATTGAGGCAATAAATTCAAAACTTAACTTATATCGTGAAGAAAAAGAATGGAACACCACCGAACGCCAAACAATTTTGAGAGGATTCTGTTTACAAACAAATCAGTTGAAATGATTCAACGGATATTTGACAATCAAAACTATGTTTACTATGTGGTGGAGACAGACAGTAGTAAGTATACAGATAAAAAACAATTTAAAAACATTCGAGTAATTAAAAACGGAAAATTACAAAGTTATGCTTATTTCATTAGTCTATCATTTATGGTTTTGTATTAGCATAACGTACTGGCATGAAGTGCTTTTGAGTGACATCAGTGTCAATATCTATATATAGTGAGATGGTGAAGAAAATTTGTAGCTCAAATGGATGATTGTGGTGGAGTTTTGTTCCTTGAGCTGGATGTTTTGGTTGTGGAGCTTTCATTGTTCTTCTGAACAACATCATCAGCACAAACTTCAGATAGAAGTGAAGTATTCGAATTACCCCGTGTTTGACCCGTAGCTTGTTCTGTTAACCACAATCTTGATTGATATTTACTGACCTTAAATCTATCGTTGTTTGCACACTTAGGATGACTATATCCCTCTATGATCTGTTTCTTGATCTTATGTCTGCCTACGATTTTTCTGATTGGTTGATAAATTGGGTCATTGTTGATGTGTTTTTTGGTTGCTCAAATTTGTACTGATGATGTTGTTCAGTAGAACAATGAAAGTTGCACAACCAGAACATCCAGCTCAGAGAAAGAAATTCCACCACAATCTATATACAGTTTTTAATTCAGAGTTTATTCTAGATAAGTGTGTTTCTGACTCCAATCGGAATTCTTTCGCATTACAAATACGTATGGAATTTACAGGTAAGTTGTTTAAATAATTATGAGAAGCTCACCATCAGGAATAGATGAAACATATTTTATTAAAGAACTCTTATTACATTCATTTTAAGTTTATTTAATGCTGACTACTTAATCTATAGATTATAAATGTATGAAAATAAGAAATAATTATTTATAAATTTGCTAAATATAATCAAATGATATATCTTACCTTGATTTGTTTAACTTTCTCAAAACGAGTAAAATTTGTGTCACCTAACAATGTCCAAATCGGTACCAATCCCATTTGAAGTTTCTTCTCTAATACAGTTAACATTTTCAATATATAATCAGGTATGATACCGCATCCAATGTGTTGTATGCTAACTAATTGTGAAAAATTCGATTCAGGGCTTCTGGCATAATTATGAGCTTTAGCACTAGCCAATATAGATAATTTCCTGACAAGTAATGAGAAAAAAACAGATTGAATACAAAAACAAATGGGTTACATATAAATTCTTGATGAATTCTATCTGAATGCTTGATTCAGGATAAGATACGTGTCCACAAGTTTTATCGTATACGTTTTCAGTGTTCAGTATGTGTACAGTGCTATGTATTTCCGGTTATTTTTTGTGTATTAAATTAGTAAGTACTGCTCATTAAAAGATAATTTATACTAAGGATTTCGTTTTAAGCTCTAGTTTTACCTTTGTTCATTTTGTCATCTAGCAACTTCAGTTGCCTTACAGTGATTATATTCACAGAAGGCATATGTGTGCAGGTTAAGATGACTGAAATGAATTCTTCAACGTAGGTTTTGCTTGTGTATGCTCTACTCACCTGGAGAAATGCTCGAAAATGCTTTGTACTGAATACTTAATGAACAGTGAAAAAGAACGGTTTTCTGTGTACATTGATTTATAAATGGGAATTTATGAGATAAGTTAAATCAATCACTTTATGCAAGAAAACCTTCTTTTATGGTGTTGTTTCAATCAGTTTTTACCATTCATTTATCAGGGTGAATTTCATAGGTAGCATCTTTTGTTATTATATTTCTCATGCTTATGATAATGTGTTCCCTATACACGAACGTTTGATATTTCAAAAGAATTATTATTTTATTTATTCATAATTCATAAAATATTTCGGATCGATTTGTGGGTTATGAAGTCGAACTCTATATAATTATCTTGATTGATGTGTAGTGAATGAACAATAAAAATCCTGAAGTCAAATGACACATACTCAAATTAAGAATTTCATAAACTCTGCACATTTCAAATGATCACTTGCTTCAAATAACCTCTAAAGTTGAACTTCATAGACTATTTACTTATGATTAGTGAACTTGTCAGAAATGCTGTAACTGTATACAGTTGTATGCAGGATACTTGTTTTACAGAGGAATGATGGAAATACTAATTTCGTTTTGTCAATTTATACTTTTAGTCAGCTTGAATAGTATACTTGGTAGAATATGACTCACTGTTTAAAATCATACAGTCCATAGTTTATAAATTACTTTGTTCGATAAAACTCAAAATATTTTCTGATCTTAGTGAAATCTAATACACTCTCAGATGCGAGTAAAGGCATAGACGATTTGTAGAACAATATTGTTCAGCAGATTACAAGAGTATTGAAAGGAATGGGAACTGTTTTTTTTAGTATAACGTTAATATAAAACAGTATTTCGACTATGTATTTCTCTGGTCGACAATTTAACTGCAATTTATCATCATTAGGTTGTGGAGGCATGAGATTTCTCAGTGACGAGAAACTTTACTTTCCTACACGATGAAGGCAATTACTGTCACATCACTTACTGTAACAATATTGTGTTTAGTCATTTATATATAATTTTTCGTGAACAAAAGTGGGTAAAGATTTTCAAAAAATACCATTAGCTTCAATTGCTTCAGCTTGTTTACCTACCTATTTTTTTTCAAATAGATTATTCTTTAACTGAATCAGGTCAATTAGTGACATATTGTACAGTGACAGTTTTAATTGGACCTTTACTTATTTTCTGCTTTTCAAAAAAATAGATTAGTTTATATATATATATATATATATATATATATATATATATATTATTAATCTCACTAAAATATATTATCCTATATATTGGACGAGGATATTTTTTCATGATTAGACTTTTAATCACATTGAGCATTTTACATTGTTTTAGTTATCATTCGATGAAGAGATTTTTTTTCCAAAAAAAAGGATAAATTGCAATTTCATCGAATAGAATTGATTTTTTTTGTTTTCGTTACACTAACAATGAAAAGAAAATTGTTTACCTCATGATCAATGTACCTAATGAGTTCGTTAATAATTAGTCAATAAAATACCGTAATTAAAAAATAAATTAATTTATGCCAGTGTCAGTTTTAATTGAGCGGAATAAAAATGAACTATTCAGTTTTATAATGACAATATTACTTTTGAAAATTAACATTTCATTTTCATGGTTAACTAGTCCTAATTATATTAAGTTGACACTGTTTGTAATATAATAATATAATATAATATATAATAATATATTATAATAATTATATAATAATATAATTGATAGCATGACTAGTTCACATTTACACAAAGAATTATTTGCATGCGTCTTTCAATAAACAACTAAGATTATCGAAAAGTTATTGTTCGATTGATACCTTTCAATCCCAAAGTTAATTAATATAACACTTTGTTCACTGAACATAGCATTCGAAATTGGGAAAACTAAAATTTTTAAGTCTTATGTCAGACTACACTTATAGATTAGGTATATCTTTTAACTTGATAAAGTACTGGTTCTTCACGTAGTGCATAAATTACTCAAAATATATAGAGTAGTAGTTAGAATCATAAAGATGTCTTTGTGGATATGAACCGAATAAGTTGACATGTCAAATTGTTTTGAATGATAGTGACAAATTTCTAACATCTAACGAACAAATAAAAATGGATTTAATGAATTGAGTTAGTGTTCACTGTTGTTTAAGGTTAATTCGATGGCCACGTATAGTTAATCAATTTTTAGTAGAGTTCACTGAGTGTAGCATATCACCATTCATTCATTGTACTTCTGTGATTTGTCGTTTATATTATTCGATAAATGTATCAATCATTTTTTATATTTGTAATAATTCGATTACAGTATCGATTATTGTTTATTTGACTGTGTGTGTGTATGCTTACTCGCTTATTACATTTCTAGCTTATTGTTGCCTGACTATAAATACTTAGTCATTCTTCAGCACGGAGAGCTGACTGACTCGCCTTCTCCAATTCGCTTCGCTTAGCTTGTCAGCCTTCCGTCCTCATATCTGTTTGCATCAATGAATGCATGAAATAAATTTATCCATGAAACCGTATTTGGCTTCCTACTACCGCCATCACACGAATGGGGTGACGTTACATCAGTTCTTAATGGAGTTTCATTTTCTGAGTTGGATGTTTTAGTTATGGATCCTTCATTATTCTTCTGAATAAAAGAATCAGACAAACTTCAAGCAACTGAGTTCTTTTATTCAATTTTTTAATACGTTGCGAAACCCTGGAAAAAAGATAATCAGCAGCTTAAACCAACTGAACACTTGTGCATATTTTGATATTTGTTTGAATGATGTGTATACACAGGATAGTCATGAAATATTTACACATCATTCAATGCTGTACATTTACTGATATTCATTAGATTTTACTAATATAAATGGCATCTTACTGTATCATATACAATACGTGATTAAAATAAAACTCTAGTAGAAAACATTTATTCATTTTACAAAGCTAATTTTCGTGCAAATTTTCATTAATTTTGTCCAGTTGAACATTAGAAATCAATTGATGAGTAGAGAAAAAGAAAATGTAACGAATTTTCTAGTTTCCGGGTTGAAAATTAAATTAATGCAGATTGAACATTTTATTTCTTCTTTCTCTGTCTCCCGCTCTCTCTCTCTCTGTCTCTCTCTATCCCATTCTCTTTTTTTGTCAATTTCCATGTGAAATTTCTTATTGCCTATGCAGCTGTTCCGAGAATTAATTGATTTTCTTTAAATATCTTTTATCATGTTAGTATGAATAATAAATGAACAAAAAGAAAAAAAGAAGCACACAACTAATTTGGCCGACATATATTGAAATTGAATAACCGTTACACCTATGCTATATAGTGTTAGAAAATTAATAATACTAGTATAACTGAGTTAGCAAATGAGTATCATAACATGTATCAACAAGATTCTAGGTACAAACGATTCACTGTTTGTTTAATGATCCATCGGTAAGTTTATTTGTTGTTGTTGTTGTTCAATCAGTAAGTTGTTTGTGACAAACAATTAAGAGCATATTTAATCGTTCAGAACATTGCAAAATTCAATTATTCACAGTAGTTATTAGTGAAAATTCAATTTCTTAACAAAAAGTATTTTTTTTTCTACAAATTAACACTATCAATTATCTAGGAATAAAAAAAAGAGAGAATTATTTATCCATGTTTGTTTGTTATAAAAACAACTTAAGAATGAAATGATTCATTTATTGTATTATAATTTGTAATATATTGCCGATTTCTAGGTAAATATTACGCCGAAACTTACTGATTACCCCATGTATATAAATCATTTCAATTTAAACTAGATAACAACTATGAACAAATATTATTACAATAGTTAATGTAGTTAATTTAGCTTTGAAAATTTAATTCTAATAAACACTACTATTTCATTTCATGAAATAAAACTTAATGACACTCCTAAGGAAATAAAAACCAAGTCATTTACTATGAAATTATATAGGGTGAAATAAAAAAAAATTTTATTTAGTCAAGAAATTCAAGTAAAATCTAAATGTAGGACATGGTTTTATTCGATCGAATATAGCGTCTGCACATTACTGAGTAGTTAGTTAGATCAGTAAAAAATCTTTTTCTATATATCTAGTAATAAAATATTGCTTGTTTTTTTAGAGAGAAATAAAAAAGTTTATGGTAAAACTTGAAAATAATTTACACAAAATACTCCATTAATTATGCTTAGCAGGCAAAAACTAATTGATTGAATGATTGATTGATTTGGTTCTTAATCTATAAGCATGAATATTTTATAGTAGGAAGAAAAGAATGTTTCATTTAGTCGGATTTATTTGATTGTTCTTTCATGACAAACAAAACTTTTAACAACACCCAAATGAGAGAATATAAACAATTATGAATTTAACTTAGGCGTAGCTTAAAAGAGTTTATTGTAATATATCAGTCTACTTATATGATTGGTCACAGTACACACACATACACACAAATGAAGTATTCATAGTTCCGTGTTGTTTTTTCTTCTTAATTTCGAAAACTGTTTGTAGCTGATGAAAAACTAAAAAAATTGAAGAAATTCATTTGCATTCACGAACCTTATTGATGTTGTTGCATTGCCTAGAAATGATAATGTTTGACAATCTT